TTTGAAGGTAGACCAACGCAAACAACAACACAGCTCCAGATCTATTATGCACATCAGGTAGTTGGGGCATTAATTGATAAATGATTTGGGATTATTCCTACAAGTACATAATTTGGAACGTGTCTTTATATTACATTGATTAATAGTTGTTTGAGATTTTTCAAATGAGTGATTTGACATGTTAAACTCTCTTATTTTTGAAAATGGAGTCTTTGAAGTGGAATATGAAGATTTTGGATTAAGCTTGGTTTCGTAACGCCCTTATGGGTGTTTATTCTCTAAAATGCAACTGTCTTTCAAAGTGCCCGTTGCAAATGGCAGGTCAGGATACAACGATGGTACCATTATACGTTTATATCATTAGGAGGTAGCAGATTGTGTCCATTCTACTATATCATTTAGCTAAATACTTAGTTGTTCTTTTCAACTAAAAATTATGCTTAAATGCTGTGATTGGCCTCAGAAATGTATGTCTTTGTATTAACTGTTAATGATTGTGTGTTTTGGTTTAATGGTAAAAAGTCCATTTATTTAGAAGTCTAAATTGGGCAAACCTATTGGACAATAGGAATGCCATACATTAGTGTCGTGGGAGGTTTGTTTGATGTCTCAGGATGTTAGATTTTTTAGAAGGTTGTTTTTTGTGGAAGAGAGTCCCTAAAGCTAGCGAGGTATTCCTATGTGGACTTTTTCTTTGTTTGACTTTTTCTCGCCTTTTTTTTATCTCTTTTTCTATTTTTGGTTTTTGTGTGCTACCTTGAGTTTCCAGGTCTTCATTTGTGAGCCATCTATACTTTTCTTATTCAGTGCCTAAAAATCATCTATACTTGATTGCATAGTAGTTACTAATATGTACATTTATACCAATAGTGAGATTTTAAGTTTTATCAGTTGTTAGTTTCAATACTTACTTACATTGGTTGTTTATGTAGTTTTCTTTGTAATATTTTCTCATTATACAACTAACTACTATGGCTACGTAGTTGTATAAGTGGGGGTTGGGCATGATAGTTCTCAGAAGCATCAATACTTGAAGGTTATTATAATGACCAAATTCTAAAGTTATGGTTTGCCTTCAACTTGCTTGGAGCATTTCAGTTATGCATCAATTGTTCTCTCTGTGTAGTTGACTCTCAGACAAATCGAAAATCTTGCTGATATGTGCTTGATTGTAGTTAAATTTAGGGTTCTATTGCATTCTTCAAAGCCTTTGGTTTCGTTGCCGGCTTCGAGGTCAGTAGGGTTCCGCTCTCTGGCTGTTCATACAACAGTGGGTTATAGTAACTCACTGTGAGTTCAATGTTATTAATTTTCTGACTGTTGTATTATTATTATTTTGCTTAGAAATAGTAAACATCATATCATTTGACACAATACATAGTTTGATTACTTGATTAATATTCAAGTGGGATTGATCTAGCTGATTGGTTTTCATATTGTTTACTGGTATGAAGCTGCTCCTCTTTGAATTACAAAAATATGCATAGGCGAGTTTTTGAAGAAAACCCACTTCCTCGAGCTTATCCCTTTCGCTCCTCTGCAAGTGGTTTCTTATTTTTTTTTTTAGTTGTCCTTCTTGAATGTATATGCTAAAGTTTCTTTTTTATATGCAAAATTTTGAGGATTTGAGGGGAAAATTGGAATGCCATCAACTTTTAACTTCTATCGTATCACTGCCTAATGTTTTCGCAATCAATTTTTGGCTGCTTCAACTTTAAGCAAAAATAGACTTGCATCTGTTTACGTGGGCGCCTTTTGCATTATGTTAATTCCAAGAATGAGAAATTTTTCGGTTCTCTTTTGAATTTGAAAGTCTTTTTGCTACTGATTCTTGTGGTGTGGGTTGTGCATAAAGATATCTAAGTCTGCATGCAATTTTTTCTTACTGGGTTGTGGACATTTTTGCTTATTTTCTAGGTCGACTTAGGTAGCTATATTCAGGTGTGGAACTAGACAACAATAGATGTAATTTATGTTGTTATGAATATATCCTCTCCGTAGTACTTATATAGTTCCATTATCAAATTATTAGATTAAAGAATAGAGAAGTGAAAGTTTGAGGCAGTTGATGAACTTCTTTATTTGGATGTTGTAATGATTAGAGTCCATCTTCTTTTTTGACATTGTAATTCTTTATTATTTATGTCGAAGTTTATTTGCATGAAGACAAAGTCATGTGTATTTTTACCATTCTTACCACCAATGTAGTCAAAAGCGCGTTTCTACGTAAAAGCGTTTTGGTGATCTATAAGCATAAAAACGTAAGCTTTTACACTTTAAAGCGTAGTTTTTAACGACATTAGTTATAAAACGGAGATTATGCGTAGAAGCATTTTGGTGACCGGGAAACGTAAAACCGTAAGTTTTTAAGTTTTAAAGCGCGATTTTGACTACATTGATCACCACTTTATCTTCTAGCACAACCTGCTATCTAGAGTGTGCATTCCTCTTCCCAATCTATGACCACACTTGAATCCCCACCTAAGCTATCACTACACAGAAGTACTGACAATATTGATGTTGATGTTTTTATTGTCAAAGATTGTACGTGTTTGTCATATCTTTCAATCACTCTAAAAAAACACGATGCCAAAGCACCGTCGCTCCACAACGTTTCTCAATTTTATTGTCATTCTCTTTTTTCTTGCAAATGCTCCCTATTGTGGGAAGTTAAAACAAACCAAAAGGACATGGATAGTATATTTTCTTATTTTTTTAATGTGTTTCATGCCTGTATAATTTGAAAACAGGCTACATTTGGCTTCTCACCAACATTTTAGTTTTCATCTCAATTTGAATAATTAAATTTGTATTTCTTTTGACTTTCAAAGTTTAATCCTTCTTATAATTACTTTTGCAACTATAAGAGATTTGTCTACTCTTAAAAATCTCATATCCAATTCGAGTTGAAGTGTTGTCATTGCCTATTTGGTAGATACAATGAATGATTGCTAGATGTTTAGTTTAATTAACTCGAAGTATGTCTCATTTCTGCAGTCCTCTTTGCTATCCTAAACACCAAAACAAATTCACATCACTTATTCCTTATTCCATTACCAACAAATAACAAGTGACTAATGAGATGTTATCTTCACAATATATATGAGCCAATAGCATTATTACGTCCATACCAATAATTCAATATTTGACTTAACTAACTCCGACCAAGGAGTTAGTTTATAAGCTAGTTTATCTAAATAGCCCATAACCTCTTAAATGTGGTGTTGTGATCACATCTTATCCTCCTCCACGCCTCAAGTGCAACTCCAACTGGTCTCGGCCCAATCCAGCCTGCCGAAAAGCTAGGCCCAGAAACTCACCTAATGTGGGCCGAAGCCTACCCTCTACTATTGAGCGCTCAAAATATCGCGTCGGTTTTAAAATTTATTTTTCGTTTCTTTTTCCCGTGATTTTTTCTAGTAAATCCTGCGATCCGATCCAGGAATCTCTTTTTCCTTCTCCAAGGACACCTCCTCCCTCCAAATTCGCTCCGCCATCAAATCCAGTTCGTTAATTCCTTCTCCCTCCATTTCTGTTCTTTTCCTCCTCCCAGTTTTTGAATTCTAGGGTTTCGGTTTCCCCCCTTTCCCTCCCAATTCCTGCTTCCCGGTCAAACATCCAGACCTGCCGCTTGTGCTCCGTCGATAGGAAAGTATGTCCGCTTCGACCGTGTCTATCACGGCGAACCCAGCGGCTGCTCGCCGGAGGCCGGTACTGGCCGGGGAGAAGAAGTCCAACACCATCGAGTTGCTGCCCAATGAAGCGCAACAAGCCAACGGAGACGGGAATGATAAGGTTAAGGTCGCCGCCCCCGCGCACAGCAAGGATCTGAGTCATAATTCCATCCGCGGCGAGCCGATTCTCGAGAGGACGTCGAAAGATCCGGTGCTGCTTAAGAAGGGAGCCGCGGTTAATTCGACGGTTTCCCCGCGCAGGGGGCGGAAACTGGCGCCGAAGCCAGAGAAGCCGCGGTGGGTGACGGTTGCGAGTATTCTGACCAAGAATTTCGTGCTTCTCCTCGTTTTGCTAGGGCTAGTGCAGTTGATTAGGAGGTTAGCCAAATCGGAGAGTAGTTTGGCTGCGACGCCGACGGGTTTGGCGGAGATTGAGGGGCGTATTGCGGAAGTGGAGTCGTTTTTGAAAACCACTGCGAAAATGATTCAGGTTCAGGTGGAGGTTGTAGATAAGAAGATCGACAACGAGGTAGGGGGCTTGAGGCATGAAGTGAACAAGAAGGTTGATGATGCTGGTGCGAGTTTGGACGCGGCATTGAAGAATTTGGAAACAAGGAGTGAAGAGTTGGAGAAATCATTAGGACAGTTGAAGGCAGCGGATTGGTTGTCCAAAGATGAGTTTTTGAAGTTCTATGAGGAATTGAAGAAGACAAAGGATTTCCAGGTGGGTGAAGACTCTTACAATTTGGATGTTATTAGGGCTTATGCAAAGGACATTGTAGATAAAGAAATTGAGAAGCATGCTGCGGATGGACTTGGCATGGTGGATTATGCCCTTGCAGAGGGTGGCGCTGCTGTGGTAAAGCATTCTGAGCCGTTTGGTAAGAGGAGGCCCCTCAGCGGCTGGTTCTCTGGTACTGGTGGCTTGAGTGGGGTTCATCCTGATGCTTATAAGATGCTGAGGCCGAGTTTCGGAGAGCCTGGGCAGTGCTTTCCTCTGAAAGGAGCCATTGGGTTTGTGGAGATTAGGCTCCGTGCAGCTATTGTTCCTGAGGCTGTTACATTGGAGCATGTTGCTAAGGTAATACTCACAGACTCCAGTCTGCCTTGGGATGTTGATTGTGTGAAATACTTTAGTTTGTCATGTTATTGAAGTTGGCCAACATATCATAGAAACTAGAGAATACAGTTGCTCATCTATTCTAGGTCTGAACTAGTGGTTTCTTTCCCAACCTTTAAAGTGAATTTGAGAATCATCCATATTTTCTCTGAAACTAGGTCGCTATACTAGTCGGCCAATGCTGTTGCACCTTTGGTGGTCAGAACCGCTGCAGTTCTCTTATAGACAACTGACACACGCCTTCTTAGATGCTGTTATTAGTCACTAGTTTGAACTGGATTTCTGTTCGGTGAACCATTGAAGCAATTGAAGGCTAGGAGCCTAATACATGATAAAATTGTAGCATGAACTGATTCTTTTCCTCCTGAGAAATGAGAATGCAGCATTTTGAGTATATACTTCTTTTATAATCCTTCTGGAGATATTATATACTAATTTCGGGGTTTCCTCTATATAGCTGTCGTCATAAGTAACCTTGACCCATATTCCTAAAACAGAAACCTAAGCGCATTGTCTGATTTGAGAATCTTTTTATATTGATAGTTTATGCCTGCATCTTTATAGTTTGATCATGTGAGCTCGTCAAGGATTGTGCGTGATTCTCAAGTAGTGGTTAGGGTACTCCTATAACCAAGAATGGCCCTGTAGTTTGCATTTGTTTTAGGGTTCATTTTTTAATGTATGGAAGTGCCAAGCGTGCTTCTAATCATTCTGCGTATGGTCCTGAGCCCACAGTGTTATCACATGACTGATGCTGTGACTTCAATGCTTCCAAGTCCGTACTCTAGATAATCAAAATGGATTGCACATATCTTGGTTTCATCTTTGATGAGTGTCTTGCGATTCTTCTTCTGCTATTAGGACACTAGGAGCTCTATTTAGAAACACCTTATCCAGCCTGCAGGAATGAGCTTATTTTCTGTTCTAACATAGTTATCACTGAGACGGGAGGTTATAGCAAGGTATAAGAGTTTGTTACAAGTCAACTACATAGCAGGGTGGTGCTTATGTGTTCTGCTGCTGTTTGTTTGTTGCCTCAACATAGTTAGGGGCTCTTTGTGCAGGATTTTAGGATGGTAGTAACAGCATCCTTGCCAGAGATGAAGCTACTTATATAGAGCTTGGTGTTCTTATGGCTGGGGGGGCTTCTGCCATTCTGCCAGTGACACTTAAATGTTTTTTTTTTGGTGCTAGCATGTTTTGACATCCTTATCAATTGCTCCTGTTCGTTGTTTTCCTTTTACAGAGTGTAGCGTATGACCGGTCAAGTGCCCCGAAGGACTGCCGTGTTTCTGGCTGGTTCAGAGGGACTGACGTTACTTCAACTGCGGATCCTGAGAAGCTGTTTCTACTCGCCGAGTTCACGTACGATCTGGAAAAGAGCAATGCACAGACCATCAACGTTCTTGACTCGGCGGCCTCACATGTCATCGACACCGTCAGGCTGGACTTCACGTCGAACCATGGCAGCCACGCCCACACCTGCATATACCGCTTCCGGGTACATGGCTACGAACCCGACTCTGCCTCGATGATGACGTTGCAGAATTGACATAAGTTTGACAGTTCCTTTATCCTGCGCCCCGTGCTTTGTATGATCCCGACATCTGTTCTTATTGTTCGGAACTTCTGTAGGTCATTGTGTAGAAGGGTGTATGTACATTTGTTTTGTGTGCCTAGGTTCAATTTTTGTGCTCTTCCCTGAGGGTATATTACCACTGTCTTGTGTTAAGAGTCAAGATTCTAGGTATTGCGGTAATCTCTATGTTTGTTAGTTTATTTGGTGATTAAGTCCGTGGTTGGTTGTGTTAAAAGCATGGTCCATGGTCCATGAAACCGTACCGAAGATCGTACCGGGAAAGTCAGCAGTATGATATTTTATTGTAAAACCGTGGTTTAATCGTAGTTCGACCGTTATACCGATAACTACCGCATATAGGTTTAGCCTCCGATACTGGTATTTCGTGGTTAAACCGCCGATACAGTACGGTTTAATGGAACACTGATTAAAAGTCCAAACGGCCGTGCAAGTTGCGATCTCTGATTCTTCGACGATAACTGATAAGTTCAGTTCTTGTGTTCCGTCCCCTTGGTCTCTCCCTCGTCATCTCATCCTTCTTACTTTCTTTCCGTTTAATTGCAAATATCACTCTTCCACTTACATCCAATCCAAGCAAACATGAAACAATCTTCAGAAGTAGAGTTGGAAATTGTTAGAACAACAGTTGATCAAACCGTACTGTATAGTTTGGTATGGATCGTAGCTTATCAAGAATCGTCTAGTCTGATCCATGATTTATATTGTGGAATATTTTGATCTCTTGGTATGGTTTGATTAAGACCACGGTTTACGGGAGAAGACCATGAATGCAATTCACTTCCCTATTAGATTTGAAAGCCCACTAGACCACTCTTCCTACTCTCCAACACCCAAGTCTGAACAATATTTAAAAAAAAAAACCTCTTTTTTTTCGTTCATATATCACACTCTGCCGAAGAGTACAGATGATAGGATCTCCGTATGAAATTATGTCAACGTTATATGACATATTGATGGAAGTTTGGTTGTTCTGATTTTTGCGTCTCTCCTATTTATTTAGATTTAGGGTATCAAAATTATGCATGCGTGTTTGAGTTTAGATGAAATTACGAAAAATAAATTATTTTTCAATTATTGATTCAATTTTTTTGTGTGTTGGATCAAACAAATCGTTCATGTTTTGCTGCAACGTGGCTTGCCTGCTTCGGACAATACCGAAACAGACCTCACAGGTGTGATGTGACCTAAACAATACCGAATCATATTTGGCCTGATCCCTTATATGTGCTCCCGTCCTTCTATCCATACTATAACTTTATATATATTAATATCTGATATGAACTAGACCGCACTGTTTCTCGACGTTCCAACTATACCCAAAAACCGTCAATAAAATAACCCAGTATTTAACTATATGCAATTTCACCATCTCATTGAAAATAAAGGAACTGATTTTTAGTTTTGCAGCCATGCTACATTTTAAATTCACTCCCCTGTGCCTTTTTCCAGATCCAGAACACGAGAAAACAAATAGGTCTCCTCCTTTGAGACTTTCCCATTTAAGATGTCATGGCTTCCTTTCCTTCCCACTGTTGACTGTTCCCCCGCCAATTTCCCCAATGTATAAACAAACCTTTAAATGCTTCTTCTCATTTCGTTTATTATAATCATCTAAGACAGCTTTGCGGGAACTCCTACGTGCTGCTCTCCAACCAACTCAAATCTGACGAACAACCCAAAAAAAAAAATGGTCCAACTTCTTCTTCTTCTTTATCTTTTTCCTCTCTGCAGTGCGTATCAACCGATTCCCTCCCTTTTCCCAAGACAGCTCCCTCAGTTTTATCGCCCGAATGTTCAGACCCTGTAATGCTCTCCACCTCTGCAAAAAAAATGTCGCATTATAACAGGGGACATTGTTTCTTGACTAGTTGACTTTCTCGAGAAAATATTTTCCCCCCTTCGTTTTTTCTCTCGGGAACCCATTGCTGCTGGCAACGTGTTCTTTCATGGGCAGTGCCCCGTTTTCTCTCTTTTCTCCGCCGCAGCATCCTAACCACCTACGACAAACCAACCCCTTTTCTCCCTTTCTGGTAAATTGAATCTCCCTTTTCTGCTTTTTTTTTCTCCTCTAGACTGCTGACTGCCCTTTTTGCTCTGGGCTTTAATCTTAATCCAGTCAAATCTGGGTCTTCTGGGGAAAGAATTTGGAGGGCAGGGGAAAAAGTAACGTACGAAGACGAGAAATTGAGTTTCTTGCTTTGCATTTGGGAGTTGCGTGATCGTTGCTTGCTTTTATTTGTTTAATAATTTCTTTATTTTCCCCGTCTCTCTGTTTTCGACTATCTCAATAGGCGCGGAGGAGTTGTTGATGCAACAGTTTCAATTGGAGAGGACTCTGTCTTTTGAGATCTTTTTAGTTTTTGTTTGGTTCGGAGCGAGTCTTGTTTGTGTTGATTTGATTGAATGAGAGAGCATTGTTCTTCAAGATACGAGAATGACGAACCAAGACCACAGAAAGCGGGTAAGAACAGAACAGAGCAATGCCATTGGCATGATTATTACCTGGTCATAAATCTCGCTGTGTGTTTGTTTTTTATCTAATAATGATGAATTGGGTGCCCAGTCTTTCCTGCAGAAGATATTCTCGTCAAGGGAGGTGATTGTGACGAGATCGACAAGAGACCCGTTCAATTCTTCACCTGGTGAGTCATGAGTTCAATCGTATGGTCTAGATTTGTTCGTTGATCAATCAATTCATAGCCTAGCTGAGTCCACAGTTCTTCAATCATGGATCTGATATTTGGGGTGATTCTCTCTTATCTTGGTTTGTGACACATCACATGCAATTATTCCACCCACCATTACCGAAGTTCCTTTCTTTTTCATCTGGGTTGATCTAGATATTGAATTCTCAGGTGGGTCCTTTGCTTGGCATTCTGTGTAGTTTACAGTGAAGTCCTCCTCCCAAATGGGTTACCCAAAATGGGAAGGATCAAATTCTTGGATTAGGGTTATCTTGCCTTCTTCTTCTTCCATTCCTTGTTCTTTTCAGGGGTTGGGGTGATAGAGAGGATAAGAGAGCATATGCTGCTATTGTTTCTTCTGCAATTTGGGAGGATGGAGGGGGTGAGAATTGATTCCTCGAATGAACTTTTGAAAGAATCAATGTAAGATGCAAATAAAGGAAGCTTCTTCATTTATTTGCATTCTTTGAGGGCCCATCAGATGCTGTGTTTTCTCTTCTCTTTCTTACTTTCAGAGTCTTCAAAATGCCTGTTTTCTGCTCTGGAAAAGTTGGTCAGAACCATCTTCCAGTTCCTGAGTGTTTTCTGGGCTAAATTTTCCTTACTCGATTGTCCTGTTTTGTCATCAGAAAGGCGGAGCGGTTCAGCGCTTGAGTCTCTTTTTTCAAACCATTTGACTTCAAGGATGCCTAATCACCAGACAGCTGAAGAACCATTTAGGTAAGAATGAATCATGTGACATGAACTCTTGTTGTATTCAAGGTTGGTTGGTGAAGTTGTTACTAACAAAGTCTTAGATCGTGGCCAGAATTTTCGTGGCGACGTGGAACGTGGGAGGGAAATCTCCTCACAGTGGCCTCAATCTGGATGATGTTCTCCAAGTCCATAACCAAGCAGACATATATGTCTTAGGGTGAGTGAGTTGATCATCTGTTCATCTTAAACCAGGATTTGGCGGCTTGTTTTGTTTTTCAAAATTTGGCAACATGTTTCTGGTTGCTCTTTCTTATGGCTTTTCTGCTTTCAACTGTAACAGCTTTCAGGAAATTGTTCCATTGAATGCTGGCAATGTCCTTGTGGCAGAGGACAGTGAGCCGGCTGCAAAGTGGCTTGCTCTTATCAACCAGTCTCTGAACAGACCATATGCTGTAGGTTCAAAAGGGTCAAAGCCCTTTGCATCTCTTGGAAACCCGCTTCCATTTCAGAGGCCTTCCCTTAGGAAAGTCTGCAAGAGCTTCAGGACCGAGAATCTCCGTCGCCTCAAGACCTGCAATTGCAGTCATGTGATGGAGAGGAAGAACAACAAGGACTTCTGTCTTTGGTGCCCACAGACGAACTTAGGTGATGATGGGTTCTCATCAGAAGAGGAGGAGGATGGACTCAACGGCGGTGGATCTTCAGATATCGTTGCTAATGGTGCCAATCACTTGAGATACAGCCTTGTTGTGGGGAAGCAAATGGTTGGGATTTTTCTCACTGTCTGGATGAAGAAAGAGCATGTTCAACATGTTGGTCACTTGAAGGTTTCTTACATCAGTCGTGGGATCATGGGTTGCCTTGGTAACAAGGTAGGAATACATAATAGATAAGTCTGGTGTTTGTTCTTTTTCGGTTCCTTGTGAATTTCTTTCCACAGTGGATCTGTATCGGTGAAGTTTGTGGTGGTTGAATTGCAGGGTTGCATATCCGTGAGCATGTCTTTCCATCAGACGACCTTTTGCTTCATCTGCAGTCACTTGGCATCAGGGGAGAAAGAAGGAGATGAGCTGAGGAGGAATTTGGATGTGATTGAGATACTAAAAAACACTCAATTCCCCAGGACATGCAAATCACCCTATAGCAACTTGCCCGAGAGAATCATCCAACACGAGTAAGCAACACCAGCAGAACTTATCTATGTTCTATTCTGCAGTTGGTTAGTTATGAGACTTACATTACTTGGAATGATGATGTCCCCACAGCCGGATCATATGGCTCGGTGACCTGAACTACAGAATAGCTCTCAACTATTCAGAAACTCGAAAGCTCCTCGAACGAAACGACTGGAATGCACTCTTTGACAAAGATCAGGTACAGTCAGGGCTGCCTGAGATGCTCCTTCAAATCCTTTCATTCTATTGTACAGATCATCTCATATATGTGTGCCCGGGAAACCTCATGACAGCTGAAGATTGAGAGGGACAAAGGTAAAGTGTTCAAAGGATGGAAAGAGGGGAAGATCTACTTTGCACCAACTTACAAATACTCCTGGAACTCAGACATTTATTCTGGAGAAACTGTGGACTCCAAGAACAAAAGAAGAACTCCAGCTTGGTAACAACTCCATCTCTATCTTACCTTCACCAATGCAGTTTGTCACAAAGCAATCTGTCACGCTTCTTACGGTGATGTTTTGGCAAAAAACTCGTGTCTGCAGGTGTGACAGAATACTTTGGCATGGGAATGGAATGCAACAGATGTCGTACGTGAGAAAGGAGTACCGGTTCTCGGATCACAGACCGGTATGTGCGACATTCTTGGTCGATGTGGAGACCGTGGAGGGTGCCTCGAGGAGGGCATCATCCGCGTATCACATTTTAAATGGAAAATCAAGTTTGCTTAATTACTGCTAACCAGAAACTAAATGGAAAAAGATAGATACAAGTTTTAGTCTTTGTTTACACCCCCATCTGCATAAGTTATTCTTACAAAGAAAGTATTCCCAGAAGAGAAAGAAGGTATAGAGAGCATTTCCTTTTAGTTTTATGGTTTCTTGTTTGTTTGACATTGAGAGTCAAATTGTATAGACAGGAAGTGGTGGTGGGTGTTGATAGTGGTTTCTTTTCAGAGCAAAGTCTTCTGGGTCCTAGAAATTTCATTTCGTCAATCTGTATACAGACAATTGTGAAGGAAAAGTTAAGTGGGCAATTTGTATAAGGTTCGATCCCATTGTGGGAGCCATGGGTAGGCTTTGTTGTTCTTGTTCTGCTGGAGACAAAGAGGACTAGGCTAAGATCAATGTGCTTAACTGAAATATATATTGAATATTATAATGGGAATCAAAGTTTTTTCGTTGGTTGTTTGTCGCAAGGTTTGAACTTAAATTATAGCTGATGTTCTCATTCAAAGGTTCCCTACTTTTTTTTTGTTTATGAAATGATTTATGCCACTGAACTAGCTGATCTATATGCTAGCCAGTTCGAAACCTTTTAGACTCGTACATAAGAAAGTCCTTATTCATTCGGTTCGCTAAGCATCTTTGGTCTGAAACTCTTTAAGTTCGTCTTACGATGGAAAGGAGTTTCGCTTACTCGCTTTAACCTTGATTACCATCAGGCTAACCCTTGTTTAAAAATGATTCCCCTTGAATTGGTTTTCTTTGATCGCCCTTCATACTAATCTTAGACTTTTTTTTTTTTGAAAATTGCCTGTATTCTCAAATAATCAAACGTTTGGTGTTACAGAGCCATCATCTAAAAGTTTGGGTATCAGAATAATTGGAGGACGGTCAAATCAAATTTCCGATTCTTCTGGTCGACACCTCACTTTCGCCATTGTGTGGGCACTCTCATTTCCTTGCCTTCCCCAAAATCACCATTGCACATTTCCCTCCGCCATCGCTATCTCTCGAATCTCCTCACAAATTCCTTCAGTCTCCCAGATCGTTGCTTCCTTTCGATCTAGTTTCTGAATCACGGACTTGCAGTCCGATTCCATTATCAGTGGTAGAAAATTGTGGGTTCTGGCGAGTCTCAATCCCCAAAGCAGTGCGAGTGCTTCCGCCGTCTCACCTGGCCACTGTGTTCTTGTGCGATGAACCGCCGCCATTCGGAACTGCCCCTCCGCATCTCGAATTACCAGCCCATATCCCGTTCCTTCCTCACCCAATGTCGCCGCATCTGTGTTCAATTTAAAGAAACCCTGTGGAGGGGGTTCCCATTCAACCCGGGTTCGCACAGGCAGGAGCCCTATTCCCATGGATCTGCAATTGCTGGTATTCCTCCAGGTAATTCTGCGCTCTCATCACTATCTCCCATTCCTCAAGCTTTGAATTGTTGAACAGCTGGTTATTTCGCTCCTTCCATAGGAACCATAATGTGATTAGTAGAGTAGTGAGTTCCTCTTTGCTTGTCCCATCTATTAGGTTGCATAGCCATTCTTCACAGTTTTTTCCTTCTCCTAGTGAGAAGAACTTTGCCAACGAGCTAGGCCTCCACACTCTTCTCGCCCAATCATAGTCCCTGGTGATATGCTCTTGTGCCATTAACCCACAAAAAGGGCATTCGTCAGGGGCATCTGGAATTCTTCTGCTAAGATTAGCCCATGTGGGTAGAATGTTACTCCCCCATCTCCATACAAAAACGCGAACCTTAGGAGGTAGATCAAGCAGCCACAATTGCTTCCAGTCAATAGGGACATAGGGTTCCCCTTGATCCGCTGTCTTTTTCTTTCTCCATTCTTTATACCCTAATCGAACTGAGTACTTTCCTGTTCTGTCCTTGCCCCAAACTCGCATATCTGGCCTTGGTTGAGAAGGGATTGGGATTTTGTTGATCCGGTCACGGTCTTCAGGTAGGAAATTTTCCTGCAGAGTACTACTTTTCCAAGACCTTGTTTCCTGATCAATTAATCTTGACACCTTCTCTGTGAATCCTAAGCCTGTTATCGGTGTTTGTACCCGATAATCCGATGCTGTTGGGATCCAGCGATCCCACCAAATTCTTACACTCTCCCCATTTCCAATTCTCCATTTCGTGCCTTCCTTAACTTCTCCAAATATAGCTAGGGTTAGTCCCCATTTCCGCCTCCAAGACATCACAGTGTGGGTAATACTTAGCTTTCAGGACACGTGCTGCCATAGAGTTAGGAGCTTGCATTAGGTTCCAGACTTGTCGACCCAGTAGGGCTATATTAAAGCCATGTAAGTGTCGAAACCCCATCCCTCCTTCAAATTTGGGTCGGCATAACTTGTCCCAGCTCATCCAATGTATTCGCTTCTCTTCCCTTTTCTGTCCCCACCAGAAGCTAGCAATCATGCTCTGTATCTCATGGATTACCCCTAGTGGTATAAGAAAGACAGACATTGCATAGAGTGTTTGTACTTGAGTCACAGCCTTTATTAGAACTTCTTTTGCAGCATTGGATAGTAGCTTCCCCTTCCACATTTAAATCTTTTGTATGACCCTATCGATTAGTTGTGAAAACACAGCCTTCTTAGCTCTCCCTATAACTGTGGGGAGTCCCAAATACTTGTCATGATGCATGACAGTCCTCATTCCCATTATCTCCACCATTTCCTTTCGACCTTCATCACTTACATTCGTACTAAAGGACAATTCGGATTTAGCAAGACTGACCTCTTGTCCTGAGGCTTGCTCATAGGTTTGTAGTATGTTCCTTAGCATCTCTCCCTCTTCTTTCTTGTTCTCGAAGAAGAAAATGCTATCATCCGCGAAGAATAATTGTGTAATCATAGGACCATTACTACTAACCTTGATTCCTTTTAGATTCCCTTCTCCCACTGCTTTTTTGGTTAGGGCTGATAGTCCCTCTGCACATAGAAGGAATAGATAGGGGTAAATAGGGTCCCCTTGTCGTAATCCCCTTGAAGGTGTGATGATTTCAGTCTAATGGCCAATCACTAGTGCTGAGTAAGTCACAGTAGTGACACATTGCATGATCAAATGAACCCAGTCTTCATGGAATCCCATCTTTAGCATTATGCTCTCTAGGAAACGCCACTCCACCCTATCATAGGCTTTAGCTATATCCAGCTTTGCAGCCACATAACCCTTCTTTCCTTGCTTCCTGTTCTTCATGGCATGAAAGCACTCAAAGCCAACCATTATATTATCTGTAATGTTTCTCCCTGGAACGAAGGCGTATTGATTTTCTGTAATTACCAGGTCCAGGATCCTCTTCAATCTGTTCGCCAATACTTTTGCTAGGATTTTGTAAAGAACCTTGCAAAGTGATATTGGCCTGAACTCCTTTGGGGACTTTGGTTCCTTCGTCTTTGGTATGAGGGCTAACAATGTATGGTTAAGGGTGGGGGGATTTGTCCTGTCAATAGGATTCTTTGCAACTCCAAACATACTATATCCCTCACCACTGCCCAGTTCTTTTGGAAGAATAAGGCTGGCATTCCATCTGCCCCAGGGGCTTTCGTGGGTGCCATCATCTTGAGAGCTTCCCATATTTCCTCCCTAGAAAAGGGAGCTAGGAGCTGTTGATTCATCCGAGTGACTCTGGGTTCCACAGCCTCAAGAACTTCCTCCATGTTTAGTAATTGCCCAGCTTGGTATAGCATCCTTAGATATTGTGACATACACCCCATAACCTCCTCCTGTCCTTTAAATTCCTGACCATCCTCATCAGTCAACACCTTTATCGTGTTCCTTCTTTGTCTATTAGATGCCTTTCGATGAAAGAAACCAGAGTTCTTATCACCTTCCTTAAGCCAGTCGTTCCTAGAGCGTTTCTTCCATTTAATCTCACCCTGGACTAGGATTTCATGTAGTTCCCTCTCCAGTTCTCTTCGTTGTAGTAGGACTGCCTTGTTTTTTCTCTGTTTGGCTATTTTTGTCAGAGCTTTTTCAATTCTCTTCCTTTTGGCTTTCAGACTTCCGAAAGTTTTTTTACTCCAAGCCATCAGTGCTGTTTCACAATCCTTAATCCGGTCTTCTAGAGGTTTGTCTGGATCTTTGCACCATTCTGTTTTGATAACCTCAGAACATTCTTCATGGTTTTGCTAGTATGCTTCAAATTTGAAGTGCCATCCCCATCTTACTTTCTCCTCTTGTAAGTTCAGCTCTATTCTTATCGGCAAATGATCAGAAACCCATCTATTCAGATGTAAACCCGATTCTCAGGAAACCATTCTTTCCAGGCAGTATTTGCTACTGCTCTATCCAGCCTCTGTTCCAAAAAAGTTTCATCTATTCTCCCATTGTCCCATGTGAACATGTTACCAAATGGCATTCATCAAGGGTAGCTTGAAATTCTTCCATGTGAATGTCAGGTGGGTTAACACCATTCTTTTCTTCATATCTTAGGACTTGGTTAAAGTCCCCACATAGAATCTATGGCATGTCATACTTGTCACTCAATCGCTTGATTAGATCCCATGTTTGGGATTTATTTTCCTGTTCAGGCCAGCCATAGATACCAGTTAGTCGCCACTTCTCTTCCTCTGGACCTTCAGTGATCCAGGCATCAATGTAATTACGCGTCATCACTTTGATTGTAACGTTAATCTCCTCCTTCCATAGTAGTAGTAAACCTCCTGCACGATCTCTAGATCCCACACCCTTTCCTTTTGACCATCCTAGTTGCTTGATGGTGTCCTCCCACTCATGTTCCTGTTTTTTAGTCTCCATCAGGAAAACTATGCTGGGGTCTTGCTCTCTTAGTAGCTCAGCTACTCTTGCAACTGTCGTGGGATTCCCCAGACCACGACAGTTGTAGGTGATGATGCTCATTGGGCTGGGCGGCCCTGGCTCTGTGCAGGGTCCGCCACTCCACCAACCATTTGTTCATTGGTAGTAACTTTATTTGTGTTCCTTGCCTCCTGTCTCCCTCTCGGGTTTTCATTCTCAGTAATTAGCATCTCCTTGTCACTGCTACCCTTAGGCTGGTCATGCCCATGTTCCCTGTCTTGCATTTGTTTATCAAGCGTCTGTCTTGTCATGTCTGTGAACACAAGAGTTTTTGCTTTCTTCTGATGTGCATTGGTATTCTCTCTCTGTTCTCCTATCTCTTCTTGTTGTTCCATTGTACGCTTCTGTGGAGTGAGATGGGTTGGATTCACCTCTCGAATGCGCACCTGGTCTTGGCGCCTCCATACTTTCCCAATGGGTCTACGCTGTGCCTTATCCATTCTCTCTTTTGCAGAGAATTTCTTTACTGCCCCTATTAACATCAAAGCACTAGTTGGCTTCTTCCCCATTTCTAAGATATCCTTTTCAGCAACATCACCATGTGTCCCACTTTTCGGTTTCTTCCCCCCCCCCTATCTGGCTGCAGTCTCTTTGTATCCAACCCAGTATCCATGGGGTCCCTATTTTTGTTATTCAGATTATACTCCATTTCAGCCTGCATGTCTTCTTGTCGAGTTGATGTATCTTTTTCAGAGTTTGAACCAGAACTTTCCATGTCGAATTTTCTTCGAAGCTGGCTCCAGATATTTGCTTCTTCTTTCTTTGCTCTATGCGACAGCCAGTTTCTCGGCACAGGAGGGGCTGTTCGTAGATCAAAGCCAAATGGGTCAACCTTCAGCTGGGATGGTTGAGGGCATCGGGTTTTAATGTGTCCTATTCTACCACAAGAGTGGCAGAAGAGGGGTAGCTTCTCATACTTGACCAAGAATTCCATCAGTTCCCCTCCCACATTCAATTTGATCTTTTTCTTCAAGGGGTTATTGATAGATATGCTTACTCTGAGTCTTAGGAAATCATCCCATAGTTTCTTAGAGCTATCATCAAAATAGACAAACTCACCAATTCTGTTCACTATTTTCTCTGCCATTGATTGTGTTCTAAGTTCAGCTGGGAACTCTTTAATCTGAATCCATATTTCCATCTTATGCAGGTTTGCGGGTGTTGGTTTCTTGATCCACCAACTTGTTGTAAACAGCATCGCATTGTTCTCGTAGTGCCATGGCCCCCCATAGCAGACTTTGTTGCGATCATCAAGCTCCAAAAACTGGAAGGCAAAAAGGTTATGCCCTAGCTCGGTAATCTGATATCCTTTCTTTAGCCCCCTTGCTTTTGTCAAGGCATATTTTAGTGACTTTATGTTTGGTTCCTTCTCTGACAGCAACCTTCCCACCAGTCCCAGATGACGAACAGCCTCCATTCTGACCACATCAACGTCCTCATCTGCTACCTCCAGTGGTTCGTCCTCATCTTCATCCAGATTGATGTGGTTTAGCTTCTCTTTTAGACCTGCTGTAGGGTTGAAGATTCCCCCTTCATCGTCCCCCCCCCCAGTTGTTTCTTTTGCTTTAAGATTTGTTGATTCCATTCTCAACAAACCAATAATCCTCGAGTATCACTTGCTTGAGACACTCTTCTCTTCGTCCTTGATGTTCGCTCTGTTAACAAACCGAGATAGACCTTGTACTCCCGCTTTCTGAATCAAAAGCCAATCTTCTTCACGCAAGGGGCTTAAAGGTCATCCTTTAAAGCTCCTGTACAAAGGAGATGTGATGTATTCCGTTCCTAACACAAAAGAAAAACCTCAAACAGCTTTCGGAAAACCTAGGGTTTCCGCCGCCTCTCTGACCTCTCGCCTTTCGAGAGAAAACCTATTGCATCTTTGTTGGTTTCTTGCTTACAAACATTGTTATTTAAACAAGTAAAAGCTATGTCTTGTTGCGTGTAAGAATAATCTTTCTCTAGTGCATATTTCTTCGCTCAACACTCGCCGGCTATTTGGTCCCGGAGGCCGGAACGAGCCCTCATTCATTCCGTTCGCCAATCGTCTTCCACCGCTGGAGCAAGCCCGTAAGTCGGTAATCACAAGTTTCCATATTCATGATGATTCTCCGACCCTATTCAGCTGGAAAGAATGGGGAGAATGCTACCGCTGTTGGTTCCTTCAAGCCGCCACCGAGTAGAACAGACTGCCATGGAAACCATACATCACGGCACCGCTAATACCCTCGACTACTTGAAGCCGGATTTCCTCCCGACGAGGTCGTGTTCAACCCCTACATCGTTCTTAAGGTAATCCTTCCTTTGTTTTCCCACATTTTTCGTGCCCCCTCCCTGTTCGATTAATTGCCCAAGAGAGACTAGACTGGTTTCAGATAATTTGGTTGATATCATGCATTGCAACGGGTACGAGTTACTCATCTTAAAATATACTAAAGGCCTTTTATATTTGCACCTATGACACGTAATCCCTATTGAAATCTTAAGGCATCCACGTCAGCCACCTATTTCTGCGTGTACTTGGATTTTAATGCTGATGAGAGTATGTAAGTGGAGGTGTTGAACCTTCATCTCGACAATACTAATATGATGAAGAAATCCAGTCGATACCCAGACCCAGACCAAGACCCAACAGCAAGTAAAGTAACGTTTGCCAGGTACGTCTGCCATCGTTTTTTGTTTTTCGCTTTGCCAAGTGAATATAGCATTGGAACTTCAGCTTAAAAGAAACGTTTCTTTCTTCTTTGTGAAATAATGTTTCCACATCAGCTGCCATGCTACATCTTTACAAAGAGAACAATGACAAGCGTATAAATGAACAGAAGCATTATTTTTCACTTGTAATGCTGAGAATGTAAAACTGAGAAATAGGGAAGACAAACAACAAATGAACAGCAACCGGAACAAAGTCAGCAACGGAATGTGATAATTTTGCTCTTCATGTGCAGTTTGATCAGTTCAAAGCTAGACAGTGGACTTTCAGCTCGCTCTTATCACTCATTCCCAATTTCGAGGTAACCAAAGGTATAAGGCCTTGTCGTTACCGCTGGAAAATGCGGTAAGTTCTGTTGCGAAAAGGGTGGAAGTGACAGAATGGTTCCGATGCTATGTCAAGGAAGAATTGCAGGTTCTTGGCAGCAATAAGGAGAGCAATGATGCGGTTCTAACAAGCCTTCTCAACCGCATTCATGGTTGTAGAATGGAGATAGGAAGAAGCGCCTTGCATCCTTGTTCTGTTCACTCAACAGAACAAAATGATCCCCAAAATTTCAGGTTCTGGACTCAACTGGAAGCAATCAAGTTATTTCCTTTACTGCAACAATCTCATAACTAATTAAATTGTACCAGGGGAATTTCAGTTGGCGAACTGAAATGAGAGAGGATTCGTGCCGGGATCAAATAGCCGGCCTGAGCCAAGAATGTTGGGATGACAGCCTACTTCCTCAAGCTAGAGGTTCCTTTTTTTCACAAACCATTATTGAAACACTTGTTCGAATGTCTACTCCTATCTCTGGAGTCTCTCACAAAAGAATGATAAAGGTCAAAGGGCAAATATACAAACAACATAGCAAGCAAAAGCCCGGGAAGAATGTGTGGCATCATGACAAACGCAACACCTTAGTCATTGTCAGGAACTTCAAAATCTTTTTCAATTAAGAGCGGACCATTGTGCTACCTCCACACTTTTTGTTACCAAGTTGACTCCATTTTGGGTTGGCCATCTGGCGACCTTAGACCCTTCATACCATACCATCATCGGGAATGAGTGAAATGAGCGCCATATAATTTTGCTAATGGATGGACCGATAAGCATAGATGGTTCGATGTTACGTGCCGACGTGATTGTCTTTGAGATTCCAGTTATTTGCTTATGCTTCCCCTGCACAATTTAACAAGACAAACCAACAAGCAAAGATGTCTATACTAACTAAAGGTAGTAGGACAATTTAATTTTTTTTTATTTATAAAAAAAAACGTATTGAACGGAGATAAAAGGAAGATTTCACGAGACATTAACACATGAAATTGTCTGCAAGAGTGGCACAAATGACAATGAATTTTCTTCTATATTACTTTTGTTGACACATGCTTAGCTCTGAAAACTAAGACAACGCACACGACACACCAAATACAATTATTGAACTTGACAATAGCCATGCATCATATCGAAAGGGGTCTTAAGAGGTGATTGGGAATGGTGAACAATCTTCTTCCTTGCATCAAAACCCAACCTAGAAATTGAGAAGAACCCTAAGAACTAGAGGTGACAAATATGTTGGTTCATTGTGGGGCGAGTCATAATTGATATGAATAGGTTAAGCCAAAAACAATAGCAATTGGTGCTTTCATGTAATCACATGTCATTTGAGGGTCGGATTTGGATCCTATTGGAACTTGGAACAACCATCCCTATCACGAATCAAAGGAGGAAAGATAGAAAGCAATATCACGGCGTACCAATCTAAGTGATTGACACACATGTCCTGGGATGTTAACACAAAATCTTAGTCTTCAAGTAGAGATGCAACATCACCTACAATTATCTTCAATTCCCTACATTCTTGAATTACCTGCAGGAAGAAGCCAAAAATCCATAAAGGAAAAACAATAAGCCTAAGTACCAAAGTGCATTTGAAACATGAATAAATATACATTTAAGTAGCTGATGACGCGAGATATCATTTTCGACACGACATACCTTATATCTTGGAGAGTGAAGATACCGATGAATAGGTTTTGAAGAGTTATCGAATATCGGGCTAATAGAAATGTAGAAGACATAACCGATTTTTTCTCCTTAAGAATCTGAATGGTAACATTATTCTCGCTCTTTCCTGTTAAGTTGATTTCTTCATTGAGAAATCTCCTCAAAGCATACAGTAAAAACTAATAAGTTATATAAAGTTGGGGTATAATCCTTATAGCTCGTATGTTAAGATATTTGATGACTAAGTGGATGGTCAAATTGAAGAAGGACTCGTACGACCATTAGAGCAGCGATGAACTCGGCAATTCGGCCCTCCATGATGTAGATAAAGCATACATTATAAAAAAATGATGTAGATAAAGTATAATTTTGCAAGATAGGTGGGGTGGATGACTTTTGCACGCTTACCATACATGAGGTCCAACTGCAACATGCATTGCATCTTTTCCACATGCATGTGTATCCAAAATCATATCTCATTTTGGGTAAAATGACGATTTAAGAGACACAATTAGCCAGAGAGGAAAACAAACAAACCAACCAAGTCGGGAAGACAAAATATGAAAAGCAACTTGAAAGCGGATACTTGGGGGGCTCTACTCATTCAAACAAGGATGATAGCTACAACACAACACCAAGAGACATTGGTGAATCATACACATTTTCGAATGGTACTCAAGTCCCAAATAAATAATTGAACCTTATCGGTTTTGCTAAGAATGAAGATAAAACCAACAAGTAGTTAGCAGAAAATACAATAAGTTTTTGATAGCCCTGCTGAATTCCAACTCAAGAATTTCACTTCTACACATTGGCGAGTCGAATAAAAAAGTCCCAATACCCTGATCTTGGCCTTCGATATACAAAAACACAGTTAACTTGGAGGAATAAGTCACCAATAAATGGTTAAAACAATGAGAGCTATGAAGACAAACAACAAAGGAGTTGAGAGCTCAACAAATACGCCATATATGAAAACGAAAGCACCCATTGGTTGAGTGCTGCCATAGCTAGGGTGCCACCACTGATATAGGCAGTTGCTTAGACTTTATAGGAAAATAAAGAAGGAAAAAGAGAGAACTCTGTAGTTAATCCTTTTTTTCGAGCCTTACATGCTTGATATGCACCCGACTCTACTTCTTGTCTTAGAACAAAGTGGTAATGTTTATGTGGTTGTTTATCATATTCATCATGGTTTTTTGCCCCTATTATATATATATGATTCTTCTATGAACATTACTGCATTGTCTTCTGCTCGTCACAAGAGGTCGGGTTACCTGGCATCAATCATAGACTCTCTTATATTCAAAACAAATGCAAGTGTTGTTCCTTTTCTCGATATGCGTTGAAAGGAAACTTGAATTCCCTTATTGCCCAAAGCTCTATTGGCCCTAGAAGAAAACAAAACATTATGTTACTTGTAAGGAAGTCATTTGGTTGTATGGTTGTGAGCCTGTGACTCCATACCAAATTATGGCAATAACAAAAAAAAAATTATATCAAAATGCCAAAACATAATTATTTTAGTTTATATTAGTAAGCAATTTGTATTTAGATCGAGTTATTCTAGCCACAATTTTTTCTTACATATTCCACTGGACGAGCTGAGTTCGAAGGTACTAACTAGGGTTAAAAACTAAAGTAAACTCTTTACATATGCTTAGATATTAAGAATATATGTGTCTACAATACATCCAAGAATTCATATGTATGCATTTTAATTTTTTTAACAAAAAAAACTTTTCAAAAAATTATAATTAAATGTTCAAGCGATACGGTGTTTTAAATGCACCTAAAACTCGTATGTGTTGTAGACACGCTTTCTCGGTTATTAAGATAAGTAATGACAATTTTATCTAGAACTAACACCAAAGATAAAGAAAATTTTACAAATGCACATTCAAAAAATGGGAAATTATACACTAAATGACCATTTCGAGATGAGATCCCTTGGTAGCGTGTGTGAGTGTCTTGGATTGAGATTCTAAGCCAACATGTAGACAACAACCATAGTTGAGAGTTAGTCCAAACTTCAAAAATTAGCGATTGATACATATTGTATAAGATGCTAAATTTGAATATCTTGATAGACAATATTAACATAAGATCCTCAACCGAGATTTCATGAGAATTCACATGAAAATGAGTCAAGATTAGATAATTTTATCATCATAAGGGGTACGATGTGTGTGAAGTTTCACTTGAGATAAATAAAATTTATCGAATAATTAAGTATCTTTATCCACTAATCTCTACACTCAATAATTGGTTGAGAGTTTGTCATAACTCGAGAATCACAAATTGTTATATGTAGTAAAAGATAATAAATTTCAATGTCTTAGTTGACAAATCTTGATATACTATCCTAAATGGGACGTGATAAACATTCACGATATGATTTGTGATTTGAGAATAAAAACATCATAGATAAATGTGATAAGTATTGAGAATTTTTAATATAGGCATATTGAGAGTATAAAAGAAGAAAAAGAAGAAAAAGAAGAAAAAGAAGAAAAAAAGATATAGATAAATTGATTTATATAAATGTTAAAACGAAACTTTCCAGCCAACATGTCGGGCAAAAAACTAGTAGCTATTAATACCTATCCTTTTGGTTTAGTGTGTTGTTCCAATACTTTATTGTTTGTGTATCATTGCAAATGGTAAGTCTGCGAATTTTCTTGCAGTATTTTTCTAGTAGACCTTTTTTAAGTTGCTCGCACGCCAGGAAAATTCCTTCTTGATCCAAAAATTAGCTCTTCGTATTATCCTCGGTATAGTATGTTCATGTCTCCTTATTGTAAAAGTCCATTATGATTGTCCATCCCCATCCCTCAGAACTGCCCCTATCCACACGTAACCCAACCTCGGGGAGGCATCCGTGTCTAAGTAATAGTTGAAGAAAATGATCAAACGTAGTAGTTTCATATTAGTCAACAAACAAATCAAATTAAACGTGCTCCAATTCTAAGAGGCCGATTCCAGAACTTTCAAGACATGCATGCTCAATAGTTTAATCTTTAATATTAATCTTTAAGATAGAGGAGCATTCAAACATTTAATGCTAAATAGAAAAACAAATATCAAATGCATGAGAAGTTAGAAATGCACCCTCCATCTCCAAGTGGGGGACGTCGTGCTATTATTCTTGTAGTAAGTTTGACCTCCTTTTTATGCGTCTGTTGGATTCCATATGGTTACACCATCTTGATGTTGTATCTTGTGATCACCTCTCCATACGCATCCCTTAATTCCGAGTTGAAGGCATTGAAGTTTAGAAGGAAATCATTTCCAACAAATGATAGCCTTTGTACCATGCCCACACTCTTGTCGTCACTGTTTGAGCTGCACTCGCTTCAATCATAAGGATTTCTAACGCCCTACGAGCTTTTGTATCTGTAAGAGTGAAGAGAGCATCTTCTTTGTTGCTTGTTTCATAAGATATGGAGTTTGTGTGGTACTGAAGGCAAAGAGGGATGTAGATCGGTATAGAAATGAGAAACAAGTTATAGGAAAAAAGGTGGAGGTAGAGGTGGTGGAGAAGCTGCACAGGGCAGGTGACACGGTGGAGGCAGCAGGGGACGTGGTGGAGGTCATGGAGCCGCAGTTGATCAAGTGCTTGCTGATGAAGATGAAGACATTGAAGCTGCACAGGGCAGGGGACACGGTGGACGAGGTGGAGGTGGAGGTAGAGGTGGTGGAGACGGTGGAGCAGCTGCACAGGGCAGGGGACACGGTGGAGGCGGCAGGGGACGTGGTGGAGGTCATGGAGCCGCAGTTGATCAAGTGCTTGTTGATGAAGATGAAGACATTAAAGCTGCGATTGCAGAACTACTGCTTCATCCTCCAGGTACATTGAACCCTTTTTTCTTATAACGTGTTTTAGAGAAAGTAAGGATTGAACATATAAGATTGTAGATGAGTACACAAAGAGGGATGTAGCTCGGTATAGAATCTTAATCTTATTGTCCTCCTACTTAGTGATGGCAAAAATATTCATGCTCGTCAATACTCATCTGAATTTGACCTTCATGCTCGTCAATCCTCCACCAACCAATCGGGCGCTAGTTTTTGTTTCCAGTTTTTTTATTAAGAAAATATTTAATAACTTGTTGAGCCATCATTTAGATTGCTTCAGTTGAGTGGTGCACTAAATCATAACTTGACATTATTGAAATGAAGAGGGGGAGAGTATAAGGTTTGTCGGCGATTAATTTTTTATGACAAATAACCTGATAATTGTTCAATCCTTGTCCATTTTAAACATATTCTCATTGTTTTTGCATTTAAAGATTCTCTCATGCATTCACTTTTCTTTTTACTAATAAATTGACATTCAAAAAATTAAAATTTAGGCATTCACCACTTTTGTCAATGAATACAAATACGAAATTTATTTTGTATGATAACTTGCAAGAAAAGGTTGTGGTGGAGGTCATGGAGCCGCAGTTGATCAAGTGCTTGCTGATGAAGATGAAGACATTGAAGCTGCGATTGCAAAACTACTGCTTCATCCTCCAGGTACATTGAACCCTTTTTTCTTATAACGTGTTTTAGAGAAAGTAAGGATTGAACATATAAGATTGTAGATGAGTAGGCAAAGATGGATGTAGCTCGGTATAGAATCTTAATCTTATTGTCCTCCTACTTAGTGATGGCAAAAATATTTATGCTCGTCAATACTCATCTGAATTTGACCTTCATGCTCGTCAATCCTCCACCAACCAATTGGGCGCTAGTTTGTTTTCCAGTTTTTTTATTAAGAAAATATTTAATAACTTGTTGAGCCATCATTTAGATTGCTTCAGTTGAGTGGTGCACTAAATCATAACTTGACATTATTGAAATGAAGAGGGGGAGAGGGAGAGTATAAGGTTTGACGGCGATGAATTTTTTATGACAAATAACCTGATAATTGCTCAATCCTTGTCCATTTTAAACATATTCTCATTGTTTTTGCATTTAAAGATTCTCTCATGCATTCACTTTTCTTTTTACTAATAAATTGACATTCAAACATAAAATTTAGGCATTCGCCACTTTTGTCAATGAATACAAATACGAAATTTATTTTGTATGATAACTTGCAAAAAAAGGTTGTGCTAGAAAGCTCACGACTTTTGTCTTAGACGATATCATGCATCCACAATATCTTTATTGCTTTATGTTTTATATAATCAAACTAATGGATTTATTTTGACGTGATTGACTGATTGTACATACTTAAATTGTCATCGTGAATTTTTTTTTATAAATAATAGGAATTAAGGATGATAGTTTTATTTGCCCATATACAATTACTTTTTCTTAATCTTAATGTCCTCCTACTTAGTGATGTCAAAAATATTCATGCTCGTCAATACTCATCTGAATTTGACCTTCATACTCGTCAATCCTCCACCAACCTATCGGGCGCTAGTTTTTTTCCAGGCTAAATATTTACTTAGAAGAGTTTACTTTAGTTTTTTTATTAAGAAAATATTTACTAACTTGTTGAGCCATCATTTAGATTGCTTCAGTTGAGTGGTGCACTAAATCATAACAGTTATTTCCAGTCTTTTAATGAAAAAAATATTTAAAAACTTGCTCAAGAGTGTAGCCTTGAGACTTTGAGGCTATGAGATGCATTCTTTAAAGAATGAGCTACCATATTATGCTGCTAATGTGGTTCATAGTAAGGAATATGAAGTTTCATCCCTTGCACAATTATGAGAGAAGTTGGCGGAAACAGGGATGGACACACAATACAAATTGATTTGTCGGTTGATTCATTTGGCATTAAACTTGCCCGTTTCAACGACTACCACTAAGAGAACATTTTCAGCAATGAAACATGTGAAAATGGATTTACACAACAAAATGAGCAATGAATTTTCTCTCTGATTGCTTAGTTATTTTCTTTGAGAGCGAGGGCTGATAATTGATTCGGATGCGGTTTAACCGAATTGTTAGGTCGGTTAACCACCACCGATAATAGGTCAATACCACCAACCGCAATCGAGGCCGCAGAGACATGCGGTTAGCCGCCATCGAAACTGCTAACTGCGGTGTGATTGCTCCGTAAAACCGAGTGCTCGACAAATTAAACAGAAGAGGAGATTTTTTTTACTCTTTCCCAGCCCACTCCTGTGTCTCTCTTGCTCTCAAAATTTCCAAAAGGGAAACAAAATCTCCTCATGCAATCTCTGATTTCTCATCGCTAAGACAGGGGAGAAGCAATGAGGAAGGTGGGTCGCATCGCATGTCTTCTTAGTCTCCTGGCACCCGGATCTTCAGAAGGAAGTTCTTTCCCCTCTCCAAAGAAGGTAAGTTAGCATACTAACAAAGTAACAGCGGATCACAGAAAGTAAATCACTCCTAAAGACGGGAATACAAAAATGGCAGTCCTTTTCTCTGTTTTTTACTTGTTTGATCTCATTGACCAAACTACCATTGTGTTTATTCTTTCTGTTTTTGGGTAGAGATGGAGAGGGATAAAGAGGACGATGTGGAAGCCTTTACAACATCTTTGGACCCTAACAATGACATATGCCCTTCTCTGGTCGTGGACAAATTGATACGGGAACGACCAATCGGTTGCCTCGCCGCTCTTCTTGATAAATAGTAAACGCGGAAACGAGAGAACACGATTTTAACGTGGTTCGGTCTCACGGTGTGTGAGACTTACATCCACAAAACAACTGACTTCTCTTATTATTGAGGTACGGCCAAAGGCCTTGATACATGCATATTTATACCCTGCAACTTGTAACCTAGGGTACAGCCGAGAGGATTCCTACTACTACTCCTATTACCAATACATGGAGCATTAGGAATAGTAACGTGCATGCTCATGCAAGCGACGGGCTGGGCTTGCAGCTGCACTTGGCTCTCGGTGGAATCAATGGGCTCGATCTGGCCCAATACGCCCCCGCAAGCTGAACTGTGGAGGTCACGAACATTCAGCTTGGACAAGAGGAAACGGAAACGATCGGCTCCCAACCCTTTGGTAAAAAGATCGGCAAGCTGAAACTGTGTATGGATCTTGTGAGGAGCGACTTCACGAGTGAGGACACGCTCGCGAACAAAGTAACAATCCATCTCCACATGTTTAGTACGCTCATGGAAGACAGGATTGGCAGCAATGTGAAGGGCTGCCTGATTATCACAGAACAAGACGGTGGGAGAGGTCTGCGGGACGCCCAGCTCAACAAGAAGCCACCTCAACCAAACGAGCTCACTCACAGTGCTGGCCATAGCAAGATACTCGGCTTCAGCGGATGAACGAGCACGACACGTTGCTTCTTGGTGCGCCAGGAAATGGCAGCACCCCCAAGACTGATAAAAAAACCTGTAGTAGACCGCCGGGTACTCTGACAGCCACCCCAGTTGGCATCACAATAAGCCGTGAGTTGTAAGGACCCGCGGGACGGGAAGAACAATCCCTGACCTGGAGATGACTTGATGTACCGGAGAATGTGCATGGCAGCATCCCAATGAGACTGGGTGGGAGCATGAACAAACTGACTAAGTACATTAACTCCATAGGCAATGTCGGGACGAGTGACTGTGAGATATAACAGACGACCGACAAGCCGACGAAAAGACGATCCATCCGCCAATGTCTCAGAATCTGGCTGTGTGAGGCGATGATTCTGTTCCACCGGGAAGGAACAAGGACGAGCAGCGGAGACCCCAGCATCTTCAAGTATGTCCAGGGAGTATTTACGCTGACTCAACACAACACCCTCAGGGGATCGGGCAACCTCGAGTCCCAGAAAGTAGCGAAGAGACCCCAAATCCTTAATGCTGAACCTGCGATCAAGAAACTCCTTAACACGACCGATAAAGGAGAGGTCATTACCTGTGAGCAGGACATCATCGACGTAGATTAGGGATGCCACAAAGATAGAACCACGCCGATAAAGAAAGAGAGACTGATCGGCAGAGGAAGTCCGAAAACCAAGCTCAACCAACGCAGAGGTGAATTTCTGGTACCAATTGCGAGAAGCTTGACGGAGACCATACAAAGACTTGTGTAGACGACATACACGAGTGTCACCGGGAGCACCAAATCCCGGGGGGAGCTTCATGTAAACTTCTTCGTCGAGGTCACCATGCAGGAAGGCATTGTTGACATCGAGCTGATGAAGAGACCAACCACGCTGAACAGCAACAGCGATAAGGCAACGAACTGTGACAAGTTTGGCTACGGGAGCGAAGGTGTCATGGAAGTCGACGCCTTCTACCTGAGTAAATCCCTTAGCGACGAGCCGCGCCTTAAATCATTCAATACTGCCATCGGGGTAGAACTTTATTTTGTAAACCCACTTCGCATCAATAGCGTGTTTCCCCGGTGGTAGATAAACCAAGCTCCAAGTGCCATTTTCTTTGAGGCCGCTATCTCTTTGCGCATGGCGGCACGCCACCACTCATATCGGACCGCCTGGTGGAAGGAACGAGGCTCCACGAACCTGCTGACAGCTGCACAAAAAGCACCATAGCGAGCCGTGACACGTGAGTAATCAACAAAATGTGACAAAGGATACTGGACCAAATGGGCTTGCGACGATGGCAACCCAACGTAATCGTTCACTAGATGCTGGGGAGGACGCCGGTGACGGTCACCGCGACGAGGAGCGACGACAAGGGGCTCCGGTGTGGAAACCACGGGCTGCTCCGGTGCGGGCGATGACGGACCAGCTCAGGGAGTGACAGGACTTGGTGACTCAGCTCCGGGAGACGAGGGGGACGAGACAGGAGCCGCTGGGGTCGGAGTAGTAGGAGGGGTAACTTCCTCCGTCCCAAGATCATCTGGCCGAGGCAAAGGAGGCAGCCATGGCATCTGGGAACGATCCTGAAGCTGCATGGGGAAGACATCCTCATGGAAAACCACGTCACGAGATGTGGTCAGTTTACGAGTGACGAGATCGTAGACACGGTAACCTTTTTGATGAGCAGCATATCCGAGAAAAATGCATGCACGCCCCCGTTCGGCGAACTTGTGAAGACCACTATGATTGTCCTTGGCATAGACAAGGCATCCAAAAACTCGGAGATGTGAGTAGGAAGCCGATTTACCAAAGATAACCTCAAACGGTGTCTTACCAGTGGCCGTGGTGGGCAAACGATTAAGTAGATAAGTGGCTGTAAGAATGCATTCCCCCCCAGAAGCGAAGGGGAAGGCCAGCCTGAAAACGCAAGGCGCGCGCAGTCTCAAGCAAATGACGATGTTTGCGCTCGACAACGCCATTCTGTTGAGGAGTGTCAGTACACGAGGTCTGGAGAAGAATCCCGTGTTCCTCATAGAATGTGCGGAGAGCAATGGTTTGGAACTCAAACCCATTATCAGCTTGGATGCGCTTAACTGTCTTACCGAACTGTGTACGAACCATGCGACAAAACATCATCAAATAACGACCAACTTCTGATTTAAATCGCAAGAGATAAACCCACACGCCGCGACTAAAATCATCAACAGTCGTCAAGAAATAATGTGCTCCACTGAGAGATTCGACATGATAACCACCCCAAATATCCATGTGCAACAACTCAAAACAATCTGTAGTCTTGATCGAACTAGAAGGAAAAGGGGCTCGAGCTAGCTTGGCCCGTAAACACGAATGACAAGGTTCCTTAACAGACTGAGGAACAAAAGAAATACTAGACTGAAGCTGTGACATCTTTTCTGCTGACGGGTGCCCAAGTCGAGCATGCCAAGTTGACGCAGCAACTTTACTTCCACCATCTGCCGCGAAGACCACGCTCTCTCGACTGCCAAAGAGATGGAGATAATAGAGACCGTCACGGAGATTCCCCTTCCCAATCACGCTCCTGGAGCATAAGTCCTGGATGACACAAAAATCCCGGAGAAAAATCAAAGCAACATTATTGTCCGCTGTTAACCGACTGACTGACATGAGATTACAACGGAAATCCGGGACATGAAGTACACGATCCAGACGAAGACCAGCCGGTAAGGCAACAGATCCAACTTTAGCCACAGGAACACTATCACCATTGGGAATCCGAACAGGTTGACTATCATGTTCGGTGACGGTATCAATTAACAAAGAGTCATCCATGGCTTTATGCTCATTACAGCCTGAGTCTAATAACCATTCAGAAGAGTGTGTGAACGTACCAGCCATATTGACGGTCGGGTCGGATGCTCCCTTCGACGCCATGCCAAAAAACTGCCGAAGTTGTTCAAGCTGTTGGAGACTAAAACCAGCGACAGGACTAGAATCAGCATCAACTTGGGAAGCTTTAGGGCCGCTATCCGAGGAATTGCGGCGACGTTGTGTAGACTTGCTGCCCTTAGGCGGCCAACCGATGAGATCATAACAGGTCTCCTTTAGATGACCTTGCTTTCCGCAGTGAGTGCAGCGGGGACGAGGCCGCGAATCCCCATCAGAACCTGCCTTGACATCGCGCAGGTCATCATCACGGCGGGAGTTGAAGGCCGCACTCTCAACCGGGGTCTTGCGGGACTGCGAAAGAAGACGTTGCTGCTCGTCTGCGGAAACAACGTGAAAGGCTTCAGCAAGGGACGGAGTCGGTTTCATCGACAAGACTTGACTCCGAACGGTGGCAAAAGACTCATCCAGGCCGAGGAGAAAGTCCAACAAACGCAAGCTTTCAGTTTGGTCTCGCATGCGTCGCTCCAAGTTGCATTGGCACAAGCCAAACGTACAACATGGTGGGGTTAGAATTGCCTGTGTCTCTTCCCAGATCCCTCGAAGCCTTGAGTAAAATTGTGATACTGAAAGTTTCTCCTGCTGCAGGAGAGCAATGAGATGCCTCAATTCATAGACTCGAGTGAGACTCCCTTTGCCAAAACGATCTTTCAGATCAGACCAGATTGCCGCCAACGATTTGGCGTAACGCTAGTACGAACCTCAGGATTCATGGTCGTACGAAGCCAGCCTTTGACCATCGCATCACAGCGAACCCAGGCGGCCTGATCGGCCACAACAGTTGGTTTCGGAACTGAACCATCAACGAAACCGAGCTTATTTTTCGCAACGAGAGCATCGGTCATCTCGAGAACCCACTCACCATAATTGGACGATGTGAGGAGGCTACTGACGTGGAGATGCCCCGTGCTATCGGACGGTGCGAGATGATAAACGAGATCGACAGCAAGACCGCTGCTTTCCGACGAACTAGACACCCCGGACTTGGACTCTGACTGCGGGGGGGGGGGGGGGGGGGGGGGGGGGGGGGGGGGTACCTTCGTCGCCCATGACGGAAGGATGAACAACGAAAGATGAGACGGATCAAAGTTCTGATACCATGATAAATAGTAAACGCGGAAACGAGAGAACACGATTTTAACGTGGTTCGGTCTCACGGTGTGTGAGACTTACATCCACAAACCAACTGACTTCTCTTATTATTGAGGTACGGCCAAAGGCCTTGATACATGCATATTTATACCCTGCAACTTGTAACCTAGGGTACAGCCGAGAGGATTCCTACTACTACTCCTATTACCAATACATGGAGCATTAGGAATAGTAATGTGCATGCTCATGCAAGCGACGGGCTGGGCTTGCAGCTGCACTTGGCTCTCGGTGGAATCAATGGGCTCGATCTGGCCCAATACTTCTGGAATGCAAACTCCCTCACAATCGCTTGGATATGTTTGCTTATGCTGACTGCCGATGACTGCTCATATTTCAAGCCTCTAAGAGAGGACTCTATGGGGCGGTCGAGTTGGTTTTGCTACATGGGGTTCCTCCTCCTAGTGCTAGGCTACCAGCATATTATCGTCAATGAGAGCGGCTTCCCATCGATTACGCATTATATCCCAGCTGCGACGACTAGTGAGTTTAGGTTGTACCATAAAAGAATTTGTATCATTATATTATGGTACAACTTTACAACTTGAAGTTGTATCATCACATAAAGGTAGAAGTTCAAGTTCTACCATAAAAGAATTTCTAAAAAAGGTACTAGTAATCATAGAACTTCTCGTAACAGCCACGAGATTTTTAATAGTCGTGCGAGGAAAATCGTTGTTCTCTAACATCACAACCAACTAATTTGAAAGAAATTAAACAAAAAAATAATAATTTGAAAGACTATTAGTGAAGGAGAATCTCTTAAGAAAGTAACACAACTAATTACATTTCTATGCTGTTATTAATGTTTAGTCAGACAATTTATCGGAAAATGTTGTTTTAAGTTGCGAACTTTCCATTACAGTTTTACAGAAGAAAATAATAATCTTACTCATCAAAAAAAATTAATCAATTACTGAATTTCTTTCGACCCTAATTTCGTCAAAGTAAAACATCACCAATCCAGTCAAAGGTTTCAAAGTCAAGACTGAATCAACCCTGCATTGAACGGCACGTCAGCGTACGGCAGCCACGTGTCCCCCGTCGTCAAATTATAAACGGTAAAGTTCACGGCCTCCGTCACATCCATCAGCTGATAACCCGACCACTTGACCCGCCGGCCCGTATCCGAACCCGGCCCGTAATTCCTGAACTCCCCGTAGTACAGCGTGTCCAACCCGACCGATCCGTTCCACTCCAACCACCCAACCGGTTCGATCAAACCCCCAATGTACGATTCCATCACCACCGTCCGCGAGTACTGCTTCCACGGCCGCCCCAAGTAATTCAGCGTCGTCGAATTCACATCTCCGGCCAAATCCGGCGCCGCCTCGATCGTACAGTTGTGGATCGAGATCCCGGTGTTCTGGTTCGGGTCGGTCCGGCCCTGGGCCGTGAACGCGTTCTTCTGGTTCGGCAGCGGCTTGCGGGCGAGGAGGCGGCAGCCCTGGAAGACGGCGGCGGCGTTGCCGAAGATGAAGTCGACGGTGCCGTAGACGTCGCAGTCGCGGTAGAACTGGCGGAGGGAGTGGGCGTAGAGGGTGTCTTGGTAGCCCTCGAAGCTGCAGCGGTAGAAGGTCGAGAGGTCGGCGCTGTTTCTAACCGCCACCGCTTGGTGCTTCTCCGGCCCGGCGGTGTTACGGAACGTGACGTCCACCGCCGTGAATCGCTCGCCGGAAACGGCTGCGGCACAGAAAATTGAATCATTACCCCCAAATCGTTTTAAAAAAAAATGTTTTTTTGTGAAAAAAGGAATTTTCAATTAAGAGCAGCATTTAATTTCTCTCAAGTTCCAACAAACCCAACGCGACACTACGCGCATTGATTCGGGACACGACATTTAATTCATCGTATTTTTTATATTCATTCATGTTATTTATGTAATTTGATATTATTTACGTAAGAATTATTAACTTATCATTATTCACACAAATAAAATCTTAAATTATTTTTTTCTCTCTAATAATTTGTATTGTTTGTATTTCAATTTTTCTGTAAAAATGAACTGCATTGATCATAACCTACAAAAGAACATCCATTTTGATATATTTCAAATAATTTTACAACCGCGTGAGTAAATAAGAATATGTGTAAATTAATACCAGCTGTTGTGTGAGTAACTATTACTATTTGCGTGAATAACCTTCAATCTTAGTGTGAATAACGTTAAACCAAAAGTTAAAATATCATATCGTACCGGCGATTCGACTAGAAAACTCCTACGACCGGAAGCAAAACGATATGCAGTAGTATTTAGCAATATGAAACGATCGAACATGGTTAAATCACAGTTTCAGCTTAAAAATACTCTTCTGTCGCGAATTTTTCCGATACAACTTTCTAATACTATTTTTTCAAATTTCGAAATTCACACCTAAATTACGTGAATTAACACAAAAAGCGCAATAAATAAGTTACCGAAGCTGGAGGAATTGAAGGTGGTCCAGCCGTCGACGACGCTGTGGTTGCCGGTGATGACGGTGCGGTTGATCCCGTCGCCGATGAGCATGATGTTCTTCTTGTTCTTGGCGACAACGATGTACTCCTCGTAGATACCTTCCTTCGCGTAGATCACGAAGTACCCGTCTTCCGGCTTGGTGTTGTTGGGTGCGGCGGCGATGGCTTCGGTGATGGTCGTGAAATTGTCCTCGCCGGAGGGGCTGACGATGACGTAATCCCTCACCATCACGCCGCTTCCGCCGCCGGAGCTTTCCTCGTCGAGATTGCGCTCTACCCTGCCGCAGCCGCCCGGTTTCCGGCAGCTCGGACTTTTCCTTAGATCCTGCATGCATGTGACAAAATATACCGTAAAAAACCCGTACGTCGGTCATTCTTCAAGTTGATCTTTAGTAGCGTTTGTGAAATCGTATTGTATGCTTGGTCAAATTAGAAAAAAAATACTTTAACGAATGTTAAATTGATATATGTAATTTATAAATATAAAATGGTTTTGAATTGTGTTAAATCTCGATTTCAAAAAAACTATCGTATAGCTCAATTTTTTATGTATAAGATTTGGTAAGTCAAATAATTAGAATATATAAAAATAGACGACCCCATGTTTTTCTTTGATAGTTACGTTGTGGGTAGTTGGATCGGAACCGGAGCCATGTGGGGTTGGCGTAATGGCGTTGCTTTTGTTGACTCTATTTTTCCTTTCAATAGGGTTGACTCCCTAACAGAAATTTACAGGCTGGCCGTACTGCTTGCATGTTGGATCTAGCTAACGTACAATTTAATGCAACTTGCTCTCACACCTCCCAATCAACATAGGGAATATCAAATCTAGCCGCAAATGAGCCAAGTCGAGCCGAGCCGTGCTATCGCGACATTCGGCCTATTCTGCTTGTAAAGATTGTGAATCAAGCTAGAATAATTCGTTGGTTTGATAGATTTCAACTCGCGCGCGAGTATTACTTAGCTTGTTGTTTTGAGATCATCATGAGTTGGCTCGTTTCCGTTTCTAACGCGAGCCAGCCCAATTATTAGTTGTTTATGAGCGAATCGATTTTTATAGCATGTAAAATTGACTTGTTTGTAACTCATAGGTCGGTCAGATTATATATCTCACTGTATATAATGTTTAAAAGATTTGAATACTCGAACAGTAGAAGCGAAAACTTTATATCATAGATTGGTAGGTCACTAGTACTATTAAATAACATGATACCGCGTGTCAAAACCTAGAGACTAAAATAACATGATAAAATGAGTACAAACGGATTTATAGCTTGTAAGTTGACTTATTTGTAATTCATAGGTCTGTTAGGATATATAATGATGTTTAAAAATTTGAATACTCTAGCAATAAATTAAAAGCAAAATTTTGTATCTTAAATTGTTAAGACACTAATACTACTAAATAACATTAATAAGTCAAACTCGAATCGAACCCAACCAAGTTAAAATTCAACTCGACTTTAACTCGTGCTAAAGTTGACTTATTTGTAATTCATAGGTCTGTTAGGTTATATATCTCATTATATATATGATGTTTAAAAATTTGAATACTCTAGCAATAAATTAAAAGCAAAATTTTGTATCATAAATTGTTAAGACACTAATACTACTAAATAACATTAATAAGTCAAACTCGAATCGAACCCAACCAAGTTAAAATTCAACTCGACTTTAACTCGTGTTAATTTAGTAGTAAGGTGCGCGTGGGTTGGGTTTACCTTGATAAGATTCGGAAGCGGCTCGCGCAATCCGCGCCAACCAGCAGGACCACCGCCAAAACCACCACCACCAATCCTCTTCTTCTTCTTATTCTTTTTCGAGTTGTTGCGGTCCATGGCTCTCGTCACGAGCCCAAGCGCCACGCTGTACAGCTGCGTCGCGTTCACCATCGGCAAGCTCAACCCCGGCCCTCCGACCACCCCGCTCTGCACCAACCCGTCGGCGCACGTCTGCTGGTTGGTCACCGTGGCGCTGAGCAGCGTCGTAACTTCCTGAATGACCACCTCCTCGTCGTCCTCCGCCGCCAGGAGCGCCGACGAGACGGAGTCGAGGAAGTCGACGTTGGTGTCGGCCAGCTCCAGGCAGTCCTCCAGGGCCCCTACCTGGAGGCGGGAGGCGCGTGGGGTGGCGAGGAAGTTGCGGAGGAGCTTGGAGAGCCTGGTTGCCTGCTTGGTGCACTGCTTGACGGAGAATTTGGTGAGGGAGTAGGAGTCTGAAGGGGGGTTGGAGGAGCCGAATGCCGGGGCGAGGATGGAGCGGCAGAGCTTTGGGTAGGGTGAGGATTTGCATGCGGCTGAGGCGGAAGCGGTGGGCGGCGGGGGTTGGGAGGTGGCGGCGGAGATGAGGAGGGTAGCGAGGAGGAGGAGGAGGGAGAAGAAGGGCGCGGGAGGAGAATCCATGGGAATTTTAGGTGATAATAATGATATGGGAGTCGATAGTAAATATTGAGAGGGTGAGTGCGTGTGTATATGTAATAGTATATGGGAGGTGCATGGCAGTTAGGCAACGAGGGGGTTGGGCAAAGATTCGATTCGGTTCGGATCGAACTGTATTTGAATCGATATCTCGGTGGAATTGAATTGAATATATTTAGATTCATTTTTTATCCGGCAAATCCAGGACATATTAGGGTATTGGGTTGCATTTGAATAAAATGTTATATACCGTAAATAAAAAATATATAATAAATATAGTTTTCATTACAAGGTATTTTAATTTAGCAAAATCATAAATAAAAGAATCTAGTGCACCACTCAACCAACGCAATCTAAATCCTGACTCATCAGCAAGTTTGTAAATATTTTCTTAATCAAAAGGCTATAAAAAAACTAGTGTCCGGTGGACTGGCGGAGGAATCCATTTCGGGTCCGTTTGAATCCCTGTTTTGTTTTTTTTTTTTGGGGGGGGGGGGGGGGGTTGGAATTTTTTTTTTTTTTTTTTTTTTGTTACAGGGAAGAGTTAGCTTTCGTTTAGATTTTTTTTTAATTTCAATGAAAGATGTTTAGGTTTTAACGTCTTTTTTGCAAATAAAATTCATTGGTGCTAGAATTTTTAGTCTAAATTTAAAGTAATGGTTTGGATATATTCATCTGGACCGTTTTCCTAATTACAGAAAATCCTATTATCAAATAAAATTGGACTGAATATTAAATAACACTGGGCTGAATACCTAAATCGAAAATTTTATAACACTATATACTAACTTTGAATCCAGAAGAGGGCTGGGCCGTGGCCCGGGTTGGGCCAGCCCTAGATCCGCCCACTGATCGCGCGTCGAATCATAGTTGAATACGCGTTCCCCCAACAACTCGAGCTGTTTGGGATCGATTGGTTCTTAATATAGTATCAGAATTTTCTCAGACGACCAAGATCAAGTTCTTATGTTCAAATCCCGATCATCTCGTCTATTATGTTAAGTACATGATATTCAAACATATGCAAACTTTTTTTTCCAATAACTCGAGTTATCGACATCCAACTAGCTTTAATCACTTTTAATTTTGCAAAATTTCTTTAATTTTCTATTCAGCCCGATCTTGATTCGATCTGATTCGAAACCGAAACCCATCCGTCCCCCACATGTAACTAGGTAGGAAGTTGATGAGGGAAAGCGCGTGGGCAAATAATTGAATGAAGCGGAATGGGAGGAGGAGGAGGGAAAGAGCGGTGGCCACGGTACTGTCGGTTTAGGAGATGTGGCGGTGGTCAAATGGGAACTAGTTAGGGATGGCGGTGGCCGGTGGGTTTGGTTCAATTTTGTCATTCTTCTTGGTTCGGTTCTTCATGAGCATTTTGGTTAGTGGGTTTGGTTCAACTTCTTAAACATTTTTCAGTCTTCTTGAGCTCACCATATGTTCCATGTTCCACATCTATGGAAACATAATATAGAGTTACATTGGAAGGAGATCGATCCATTATATGTTGACTCTTGTGTATGCGACACTTGGATGATCGAATCGTGCACCATTAACGAAGATCGCGTAAAGCCGTAAAATCGATGATTTCTTTTCTTGTTAGAGGTGAGTCTCTTATTTATTTGTAAACTTAGTATGTACATATCATACAAGTGTTTGGATCGATGTTTAGAAAAATCCTAACTTATCGGCCGGTCCGACCGAAAATACCAGACAACGGACCCAAAATGGTAAGCAATTTTAGCAGGGTAGAAAATGCTTAGAGACACGATTAAATCACAGTTTTTACTATAAAATATCCTATTATTAACTTTTTCTGATATGATCTCCGGTACGGACGGTTTCATAAACCTTTGTTTGGATATTCTTTATGTCAGCTTCATGTACGATACGACACGCTTGGACTAACTAGGTAATTAGTGGCCATTAGCCCAGTTCTATTGTCTTTTGATAGCCCATGATATGTATTTGTGTGGTCCAGGGGTAGTAGTCCGAGTAAGCCCATGACTAGGAGGTAGAAACCGGCCCGCTGATTGTAGTATAGGTTGGCGGGGTCTCGAGATTTGCTCTTTGATTTTGTCAGTTGAGATTCTCCAAATCTATGTATTTAATTAATTTGTATTTTGTAATTTAATTTATTGACGAAATGCATGAATTTGAAAATTACATTGTTTGGAGGTTTACATTATGCTTTGTTATAAATGAAAAATTAGAGGGTAGACAAGACAATCCCTTGGTCACAATCTCACCACTTGGTAGAGATTGATAATCACTCATTTTGAGTGATTGTTGGTGGGCCCAGAAAAAGGTAATATATTATTCTTCTGTCACAAATTTAACAAACAAAAAACGACTTAATCTTGACATTACATGCATTGGCTAAATACATCGCTTGAAATCATAACCTCCAAACAACCCCCCTAAGTTGATGTCAATACAAGACCGTAGCCAAAAGGGATGTGTGGTGTGACGGTCCGGTTCGTTTTGGTAAGCGGTAAAAACATTTTAGGATTAAGAAATCGATCAATATTGCACTCGGTTTGATTTGATCCGCCCAACTTTTAATTCACTTCAATTTTATTCAGTATTTATAAAATTTATTTATAGGATGAAGCAGTGGCGGACCCAGAAATTTTTCATAGGGGTGTCATCTTTTAAAAATAAATTAAATAAAAATAATTATTAAAAATAAAATCGTAAATTTGAAAATACCTTACTCGTACAGGTTAAAAAAGTCCATGATTTGTTTTCATATTCGGAATAATTGTAGAATACACTTGGTGTCTATAGTGTTAAAAAAATTGTCTTTATATAGCCTACTAGACAATCATTCACGAACTTATCGCATATTCGATTTGTAAACTTGTTCTCGATGTAACCTAAAGCTGAAAGACTCTTTCAACACTTGCCGTATTAAGGGTAGTTTGAAATTAGTTTAATTGTTAGGTTTTTAAAATAATTAGAGATAGAAAATGACATTTTACTATTACATTTTTCAAAATCGAACAACACATGAGTTGTAGGTCAACGAAAATTAAGTTTATTAATAAGAGTAGTGTTCTAGATTTGAATTACCCAATCTACCACTTATATTCCTATACACAAATGACAGTAGGATAATTGTGTTTTCAAATTTCAGGGGTGTCCCTCACTATCAATTTTTTTTTTTTGTCCATACGTAAATTACCACCGGGGTTGGATAATCGTATTCCCAAAATGTAGGGGTGTCCGGGGACACCCCTAAAACCCCCTGGGTCCGCCCCTGGGATGAAGGACTAGACCACATTATCTTCGATTTAGTATGGTCAAGTCAATACGTTGGTTTGATCTTCAGTAAGGACCGAACCGTGAGCCAATCGACTAATACAAAATGACAGTCATCTTCACGTGGTCGTAATGCTATTCGTAGCATCAAGTGTTTTAACTTCGTGTCTCGTTTCTTATATACTTGATAACCCCAGCAACTTGCATTATATTTGATTGTTTCTGCAGGTTGTTTGAAAGGGATTGACATAGAGAGAGCAATATACAGTCATTCATTCCCATCGATCTTATCCATTTGTAATGTGGTCTCACTTATCAATTTTATATTATCTACAATTCAATTTGTTTGTAACTAGTAAGATCTAAACTTCTTTTTGGTACTTAGACAATAATATTTGAAATACTTGCTTCATATGCACGGGTCAATTAAGATCACTCGTATGAAATCTTACAAAAAGTAGAACTTATGAGATCGTCGCGACTTCGGGGGTATAATATGGAAATACGTAGTTAAGAGTTAGAGCAGTGCAATCAAACACTTGTAAAAAATACAATGTCCAAAATACACGATTTAACCGATACTACAAACAAAACCTATGTTAGGAGAGATCCAAACATCGTTTAAGGTTGTTCAAAATAAACCCACCATTTTTTTTTCTTCCCCCGATTGAACGAGACTCGTGATCATATGCTCGGGTTTTTTGCGAGTCGTCGCGCGCTATTGTAGAGAATCTGGAAGTCGAGAAATTGGATGATAGTTCATGGGTTACAAACTCGACCCTGACACGTCATCCACAAATTCCGCGTCGAACACCAAGTGGTCAATGTCCTCCAACTGGAACCCTCCCCCGTCGTCAAACAACTCCGGCAGCAACCCTGCCCACCCGGCCGACGTCAAGCTCCATCCGCTCAGCCGCACGTCGTCGCCGCGATCCAAATCCAGCAGCTCCTCCTCTATCGCTATCATGCTGTCATCGTCGTTGCCCGTGGTGGCGACGCACGACGGGAGCATCTCCGGCGGCGGCGGCAGGGGAGGTAGTGGCGATGGAGCAGGGGATGGTTGTACTTCTCCGGCTGCGGGTACCTCTGACCCTGCCGCTGGAGATGGAGATGGGTGGATGAATTGGTCGACGTTGAGTCCCTTGGACCTGAGGCGGTCGAGGTAATTGGCGGCGTCGAAGTTGGTGACGGCGTTGGCTCCTCTGTATTCGAGTGCCGCCAAGTCGTATGCCTCTGCAGCTTCTTCTTGAGTGTCTACACCACACACATAGAAGACAAGTGATAATTAATTAATTACAGTTAAGCCAAGTGATTATGTAAGAGATTAACTTATTAAACAAGATGAACAGTTTAATAAGAAGCCACGTGAGAGGGCAGGCAGATGGATTGTACCCTTTTAAAATGGCTAAAATATAAGAGGGGGAAACTATAAAAATTAATTTTTTAAAATTTTTTAATTGTCGCAATCACTTATTTAATATTTAACGGTCAATGTTTAAAAGTTGACTGACATGTCACGTCGGATAAAATTAACGGAGAGTTACTAAACTTAGACTGTATAACTAATTTAAGTGACTATGACTGGGAACCTTCAAATTGGAATGTCTGGGCATGATTTTCCCTTACTTGGACATCCTGATCATGTATGGCTATGGGAGGGAGTCTTTTCATTAGGTATTGAACATTTTACGTGCTCTTACTGATTGATCCCGTATCAGCGGGAATACTTTTTTCTATTTTTAAAAGTAGTATTCCTTTTTCTTTCTTTTTTCGGTATGCCGCTCTTCGAACTCGAAGAGAGCGAGTATAGATAGACTACTATCATGAATATCCTTCGCCCCTTATCTCCTCATCTTCCTATTTATAAGCCACAGCTTACTTCGACGTTTTCAATTTCCCATAGAATCCCCGGGGCTTTCCTAACCACTATAGTTTTCTTTTTTTATCTTCTTTGTAATGACCATCTTCGATTAACACTCGAACTAGTGACATACATCGATTCAGCTATAGGATGCTAATGGCCAGTATGGGTTAGGACGTCCTACCGCGATCCAAGGTGTTCGGACAGTGTTTTGCATTTTACTACCGTTGGATGCATATGACGACAATTTGTAAACGATTACCGCCACGTACATTCATATCACGGAGAAAAAGAATGTACGTGGCGGAACGACTTAATTCGTGGTACAAGAACAACCAAAGAAGAAAGAAATTTGACTTATTTTTATTTGCTCAAAATGTTGCCATTTTACAAGTCTCTATCCGATCCGTATAGCACACTAACTTGAAAACTCGGATATTTATCATTAGAGATTTGGCCCAAATCTCTTTATTTGTTTGTTTATGAGAAAATCATCGAGAATGTGACAAATGAAAGTGAGCCAAGGCCAAAGAAAAGAACAATTAGGGGTCACGTGACATCAGGAAAGAGAGATTGAGATTCGATTAAAGATATAAAGTGATTAGTTGTGGGATTTGGATTTTGATTTTGATTTAGATCTGATAGAGAGAGGGAAGATAAGGGGGAAGTCGTGTGAATGAGTAGGAAAAGCTGAACCAAATCAGGTAAATGCTTTTTCGGATCCCTCGGTGGACCTGGCCCATTTCCAGGCCCACAATAAAAATAAAAATAAAAAATCCAACGTAAATGTGTTCACTTATATTTCATTTTCCTTCACCCTATTTGACTAATTTTGACTAACAAGCAAGAAATATAATATTTTAGTCAAATTCCGCATCGATAAAGTATCAAGAGAGACTTATGAGTTATAGAAAGCATCCAAACTCAACTAATAGCACACTTATTGATGGGCGACCTCTCAAAAAATCACCAACGGGATAGGTCCAAAGCCGTAAAGATGGCCATTTGGAGGACGAGATTCTATCCTACCATTAGGGGTGTGCAAACGGCCCGTCCGACCAAACTCGGAAGAAACACAATCCAATAGTGAAAGACATCTTCTTCACAGTACATTTACGATCTGCTTTGAATCGGTTTGGTTCGATTCAAATGTCAAGTCTATCCATTTTTCTTATGCATCTATAAAAATTAATGGAACCACGGACACCAAACCATATTATATTCGGTTCGATACGATTCCGTCCACCGTCAATTTCGATCCGACGTACAGTCCAATACGAACCAACTCGTTGCACATCCCCTCCCTCCTACTACTACTAGGGATGGCAACAAAATCAGAAACCCACAGGTACCCACCCGACCCAACCCGTGTTGACGTGTTTTGAGCCGCGTTTGGGTTTAAACCCGCTACACTATTCAACGGGTTGGGTTTGGGTAAACCCATCCCATGGGTACCTGCTCACACTCATATAATTAATTTTTTCGGGTTATTTAATATTCTAAGTAATATATTTTTCTTAAACAACTAATCTTATTTTTGTGGAGACATGTCTAATTTATTCTTACTAATTGTGTACAATGAAGTTGATATTATGAAGTGGAGAGTGAAGAAGCTTAGTTCAAGGAGGAATGAGTTTTCAATTAATCATTTGTTTATAGATTTTTATCTTTAATTTTGAACTATTTGTATTGATAATTTACGGTTTGCTTGTATGCTCTAGATTAGTGTTTTTTGTATGGATAATATTTTTGAGAAAATTGATGTTAGACTTTTATTTCGAAAGAAATTTGTTATTGTAAATTTTTTACCACAAAAATCCACGGGTACCTATGAACCCACGGATATCTAGCGGGTTGGGTTGGGTTTGAGTTTTTCATACCCAACGAATTTTACCTCGAATTTTTTTTACGAATAAACCAATGAGTTTGGATTTAGGTTTGGCAAAACCCGCCCCAACCAGAACCATTTCCATCCCTAACTACCACCGCCCTAATATTGGTTCAGTTAAGATCTCCATTCCTCCATATTTGACTTCATAAAGACGAAAACGAAATTGGAAGAGCAATTAACTCACCGAAAGTGCCGAGGTAGAGGTACTTGTTCCCCAAAACCCGCCCGATCCGCGCTTCCCACCGCCCGTTGTGGTGGTGCCGCGCCACTCCCCGGTACTTCGAAACGCCTCTCGAGAAGCCGGAGCTCCGGCGCCGGAGCGACGCCAGGTACTCTTCTCTGCTCACCTTCTCCATCTCCTCCACCTCCTTCGAGTAATACCCTTCTGCCGGGAAATTCAGGGTGGTCGCCGCCGGACCCCAGTACTTCAACGCCGCCAGATCGTACGTCCGGGCAGCCGCCTCCTCGTCGTCGTACGCCCCTGCCGTCGTCAAATTGCAATTCAATTTCAGAAATTGGGGACGGAAAATTGGAAAGGGAAAAGGGAGTAATTACTATTTTACTGACAGAGTTTGGCACTTACCCAGATAAACTGCGCGCCGCAGTACACCAAAAAAAAACAGAGTACATGAACATTGCCCATTTTCCCAGTCGGATGATTGGATGTACAGAGAGGAAGAAAACAACAAATTAGTCAGAATCATGCTAATCAAGTGATTAATTAAGTAATTAACCCCCCTTAATCTTATGCTCTGTTCTGGTTAGCTTTTATGCAGGGGATGAAAAGATAATTAATTCCCAATTCCTAATTCAAAAACCCAAAACCCCCAAAGGAGGAAGAAGACAAACAGGAAGACTGGACCTTGGCGTCCTTTCTTGCTGTGCTTGTTGTTCCATGAGCTTTTATCCCACAGATGCGCCTCAAATCTCCCCGTCCATCTATGCCTGCGCATTCGTTCACCAATCCCATTCCAAAAAAGCAGACAGAGAGTCAAATCTCAGAACCCCATTAATTGAAAGAATCCCCAGGCATGCAAACCCAATTCATGGTGTGGGTAAATTGGGTAATCAGTTTTTTTTTTTTTTTTCTTCCCCAAATTGGGGGGAAGCCGTGGTGTGATGAAATTACCTGGTGACTCCCCTGAAAACAGAGCTTCTCCTCCCTGGGGGATGAGGAAGCAGGGGAAGGGTTCCTCTCTTGTCGTCATCGGCATCAACATTGGCTTTACTACTGGAACGGGTCCTTCTCCGGCGTTTGGATTTGGGTACTAATTCATGCTGCTGCTGCTGCTTATGGGCTTCCAATTCCAATCTCGATTCATGGGTATTGTCAAGATTGATGGTTTTAGTGCCACAGGAGAAGCACGGGGACGAAGAAGAGCAAGAAGAAGAAGGATAGCAAGGCGAAGAAGAGGAAGAAGCTGCAGCTGTTACAGTGGACGAGGAAGAAGAAGAAGAAGAGAGGGAGGACGTAGAGGAAGAAGGGGATAATAACCTGGGCCTCTTCTTCATCTTTGTCGACGCCATTGCCATTTACCAAAACAAGGGGAGGGGAAGGAGGGAGAGAAAACTGACTTATGGTAAAAGGCTGAAGCACAAGCTCGCCTCATAAATATACTAGTTTGACATTTTTCTTCCCCTGTGTCTGGAGACTGGATCCCGCAGTTTTAATGCGGGGAGGTGCAACCAAGCAAGAACCCCGCCCGCTAAAATCAGAAACTAAATTGCAAAAAAATACCAACAAGAGATTCCACGTTCATAAGAGGAACAGAATCCACGAGAGATGTACAGAGAGATTACAGAGTGGCGGAGTTGAAATTTATGAATAAAATAAAAATAACAGATGTGAAGTTCTGCTCCTCCCTCTGACTGACCTCTAGCAGTTGGTTTGGATTAACCATGAGGACAGGTTAGGGATTTCACTTAAATGGGCAAAAAATAAAAGAAAGTGATTTAAAGAAATGAAAAAAAAGAGGAGAGTTTTAGAAAGGAAAATGGCACTAACACTTGGCAAAATTGTGCACATAAGGTAACCCTAAGTACGAGATCGACTACGTGCAAACCGTATTCGTATTAGATAAGGATTCCAACACCAAAAAAGGTAACCCTAACTTTTCTATCACTTAATTCGACCCATTTACGTCCTAAATATCTATAAATACGAATATATGTCACCTTCACCGCCACCGACACTCTGAATTATGTTTTTTTTTAAGTTAGAGCCTTTGTGAAGAAGATCGTTTGCGGTTGCTGTTGTACGTGTTGCAAGAGGTCGACCACGTCGAAGGTGAGGTCGACCTAATGTAGCATTCGCCGCCATCTTGTCTAATGCGTAATTTCCACCGCCTAATTTGATGTATTGTTGCATGCAGAATACCATCTGGTCGACCCTTATCTCAATCAGGTCGACCTATGTTTGACAATTGTTCGAAATTGAATTTAGGGCACAAAACTCGGACTTCTGTACTTGCGAGGTAAGGAAGATCAACCCAATAGGTCGAACTAATGTTGTTCAAGGTCGACCGTTCCTGTTTGTTTTGGTCGTTCTGGTCGTGTAGCGCGTCCTGAGTCACTAAATCGAACGCGGCGTTTTGGGAAGTTACACGAGCAAGTTGGGGATTCCACACTGCCGTGTGATCGGGCAGAACTGGGTTTTTAACCCAATTTCAAGTCTTTGAGGAGGGAGACGATTTTTGGAGCAGAAAACAGAGTCCTAGAGAGAGAAAGTGCGAAGAACAAACCCTATGACTGATTTTGGAGCTGGGTTTCATCAATCAATCTTGGATTTCGTCATTGGAGTGAAGATTATCATCACAAAGCATATTCTTCCCATCGTTATGAGTATGGCTGCTTTGAATTCTGTTTTTCTCTCTCTCTCAATGGAGTAGACCATTCTCTCACTTGGGACAAGTAAACCCAACGAGTGTGTACAACCCATTTTTCTCACCAGGTCAATGTCAAAATGGACTAACCCCAGAGTTGATAAACTTGCTTCAGACAATATAATTACAATATAATTGCAATAAAAACCTTTTCAGTGAGGGAGATAAAAGGAAGGGAGTAGGGATGACAATTTCGACATGATCCGATTTACCCTACCTGTTTGGCCTGTTTTGGGGCGGGGCGGGTGGGCATGGGTATCTCTCATAGACCCGACCTGCCCTGACCCGCCCCATTCTCGACCCGTTCTTGCCTAAATTACATATAATCTTAGTGAAATTACTTAGTATTCTCCTCTTATTACATTATATTCTAGCTATAATAAAGTTGTAATTAAGTGAAAACCTCAATTTCTTCAATAATTTAACTAGATTTTATCATATTATGATTTCTTTCTTGGTCTTTTAACGAAAACAACTAATATTTCTAATGTTTTTGACATAAATTATATATTCATTGAGTCGACCTGCCCCGACCCGCGCCCCGTAATAAATTACCCGACCTGCCATGGGACGGGTATGGGTATACCCGTCCTCCTCAACCTGCACATCGCCATTCCTAGAAGGGAGAAGGAGAGGACCACAAATCCACCACTACTTTTGAGTTTTGACATAAAAATTGAATCTTCCTTTCCGTCACCAACAGAAAGGAGAAAGAAGCTAGAAACACCGAAATATGGAAGGGGAAAGAGAGAAAATTTGACAATTGATCGACTACCGCACACACTTTTCTTATTTCTTCTATATGACTGTATGATCAAAACCTTTGACTTCACAAACAAAATAAAAAAATTTGATGAATATGCTCTTCTTTTTTTTTTTTGTTAGTAAAATAGAGAGGAAAACAGCTGCAGCGCCTAGCAACTAAGCATGACGCTTATAACAAAGTTGGCCCTTAGGTATGGAAGCAAACTCCCCCATCCCATTGCTCACCACTTCAATCACTCCATTCCTGAGAACCAGAGGATCAATCAACAGCTCTTTCACGCTCTGTTCGGGCATCTGGAGCGAGAGCCCTGTACGCGCGCTAATCCGCAGCAGGTGCGTAATCCTCTCCAGGGAAACCACCTCCTGGCTGTCTATGATCCCCAAACAATGCTTCCTCCAAAACTCAAAGAACGGATTGAACTCCTCCTCGGCGAAAAAGGCAGATAGATCGCAAATCATCAAGCAGGTGGTATGCATCAGAGGTCGGAAGCAGTTATTAGAGACAGAAACAGTTTACGACGATGATTTGCAATTCCAAACGCAGGGAATTAAACACCTACGATTTACTGAGAAACCCTAAACAACCCAACAGTGACAGAAACAGTTTGCAAGTCCAATCAAAGCGGCCAACAAACTTTCAAATCATCAGGGAATCAAACACCTACGATCTCTGAAAGAAACCCTAAAACAGCCGACATTCATCCATTCGATTCTCCCTCGCTCTGTAATCAATTAGCACGCTGAAATAAATCAAAGAAACCATTGAGGAAGACCTACCGGTGGCATTGGCAAGCAAGCAAGCAATTAATTCAACCCCTACTTCGTTGGTCGACTCTCGCCAAAGAAGCTCTTATCGCGATCAGCGGGGAAAACAGTACAATATAGGTTGGTTCTTTTTTTTTTTTTTTTCAGAACCAGAAGAATCTATTTATAAGGAGTTCCTGCCGCTTTTCTATAGGATGCGGACTCCCTTCCTCCCTTTAATCTCTTCTCTTCTCTTCTCTCTATCTTCTCTCTCTAAATACTATAAAGCGTTTTCTCCCAAAACTCTTCACCGCATCTTGCGGAATTTCCTTTTTTTTTCTTTTTTCTTTTTCCGCATTTGCAAACAGCAGCAGAGCGGCCAATTTTTATATATTTTATTATTTTCTTTCACATGCTTTATTTTATTTGGTAAGTACGTGCTTTATTTTTTAAAAGACTCGTGTTTGTCCAATTTGCAAGTTCTCGAGAATTTTGTCATTGTATTTTGTTTGGCCGGTTAAAATTAATAATTGTGAAATTGTATCGGAGGTTATACAAAAATAAGTCAGTAATTTTCTTAAACAAAATGTTAGTAATACGATATTTTGTATAAAAATTATGGTTTGACTGTGATTCAATTGTTATTTTACACCGTTTAAAATCACCTATCATTTAGAGTCTGATATTCAATATTTTTCGCTCCAACCGGGTAGTGCGGTGGATTTCTAAAACATTGGTGAAAATACACTTGGTACTATTTTTTCAAGAATTCTTAGTTGAACCTTCGCCTAAATATCGCACTTTATAAATTGATCTATATTGTCTGGAAGATGATTTTTCAGTATGTTTAGTTCATGAATCTTCGCATACATACAATGCATCGAGACTTTATATTATCACGATTTCAACATGAGAATTTTTTGGTAAAACTTCATTGTGGGAATGAGTCAAACTTAGATAATAGACGAACTATCATGAGATTGATGCCCAATATTGAAATTTTTTAACAATAGTATTTTATAAATTTTGCCAAAATTTAATTTGTTTTATTGAAAGTTTAATGTCTTCACTTTGAAACGTGTATTTCATACGTCAATGACTAAACATTATTTAAAAATTATTGAGTGTATAATTGATAAATTGCCTGATACATACAAGTTAATCTCTCATAAAACATAAAATTATTTATTACATAAACTTATTGTTGGCTACATGAAATATCACAAGTATATCTTGAAAAATGTACACAAAATAGTTGAAGTATGATGATAATTAATCAGTATAGATGGATAGTGGTAATTTTTTCTTTTTTGGTTGGCTCAAAGTGGATAATTTTTTTATTATAAAAAAGATAATTAAATGGGACCCAACCGGCCAACCGGGCTTAAAGCTAGTTAGGCCCAATACATTTTTTGGCCGAACGGAGGCTCTTCCTACCAAGATCCGGCCCATATGGCAACATCTTTCTGATTCTTTCTTTTCCGGCTAAATTACACGTTTGGTCACTCAAATTATATAAATTTTTAACGTTTATCACTCGAATTACTTTTCTTTCATATTCACCACCAACTTTATGATTCATTTCACCGTTAGTCGCTGGCCGTCAGACTCTGTCGGTTTTTTATGACGTGGCAAACAGGACAGCTGACTAGACCGTTAAATAATGATGTGACATCCAAGAGAGGGAACAGGTCCCAGGAAGAAAAGAACTGACCTGGGAAATTGACGCACCGCTGCTTCTCGGCGTGGTACCGCTTCCGTATCTTCTCGATCTTGTGTCGGCACTGGACGGCGGATTTGGGAGGTTCGGAAGGGGTTGGGGAGTCGGCCACCGCGACGGTGGCGGCGTCCCATTTGGCAGCCAAAAGATTGCCACGGTTGACGGCGAACCACTTGTCGTGGTAGGCCTTGATGAGCTCGACGGTCTCCTCCCAAGGCCCACGAACCAGGAGACGCCTTTGTCTCAGTTCCCTTCCGCCATTTCTTCGTCCGCAGCAACTCTTCCTTTAAGTTGTCATCGTTCCCCTGCCTTGTGTTCGTGGAACTTGTTCAATCTTCACATGTCACGCAGTTTTGTTACCGTTGTAGTCCTGCCATCTTCATAAAGATCACAAAGCCGCCAATGAAAGAAGATCAAGTTTTGTGCATTGATGGAGAAAGGTATTTTCTTTCCCTAGGCTTTGTTAGGAACGTATGATTCTTCTCAAGGTGCGAGGCAGTCACAATCAAGGAAGCGATCGTCCCCTCCGCGTTCAGAATTGGTCAACTTTGCGTCCTCACCATTCTAACTTTTCAAGCTGGGCATGCCCATCGTTCACGCTCCAGCTTGAGGGGGAGAATAGGGAGTCAACATACGTTGGTCGACTAGCTCAGTCATAAAGTCGATCGCGATGTATCAAGTGAGTTCAAGATATGTAGTCAACCGTCCCCGTCAGGTCGTTCAAGAGATGCAATCAACCGTCTTCGTTACGAAGTTCAAGAAGACGCAGTCAATCGTCTCCGTCAGGTCGTTCAAGAGACGCAATCAACCGTCTTCGTCACGAAGTTCAAGAAGAAGCAATCAACCGTCTCCATCATCAGGTTGTTCAAAGAGAGAGTCAGTCATCTCCAATCAACCTCGTCTGAGATGTTATTCATCTCGAGTTTTGTTGTTCAAACTTGTCATACTTGTTCGTCACATTTCCTTTTTCAAACTTGACATGCATCAACGTTCGACGCGATGCAAAGAAAAATAGTGTACATTGCTTCTAATACAACACTCTTAAACCCGTCAAAGTAAAAATTGCAAACGCAGAACATTAAAAAAAAAAACCACAAAACATCCTAATCGACAAAACTCTGGCTGTTAACCATCCAGGAACCCATCAAAACCGAGAAATCGTCACTCCTCCCGCCGAACTCAATCGTCCGGCTACTCGCCACCCCCGCCGCCGCCGCCGCCGGCGGCATCCCGTACCCTTCACTCCCCACATCCGACGGCGGCGTCGTTTCCACCTCCGAATCAGCACCTCCCACCCGCCGCTTACCCGACCCAGATCCGGCCACCACCCGACCCAGCTCCCACCCACTGGTCCCAACCAGGTGCGGGAAATTGAGCTTCGCCTTGGCGCCGCGGATCCGGTACGCCGCCCGATCGTACGCCAGCGCCGCTCCCTCGGGCGCGTCGTAGGTCCCCAGCCACAGCCTGGCTCCGTTCTTGTTCGGGTCCCGTATCTCCGCCGCGTACTTCCCCCACGGCCGCCGCCTCACTCCCCGGTACAGCATCTTCTTCTCCCTCTTCTTAAACGGCGCCGTTTGCGGGTCGGTGTTGTCAGCCGAGGAGGGAACCGAAACGACCACCGTTTCTTCTTTTACGACGGCGTTTGGCGGGGAGGGGGAATAATTCCAGCTCCAGCCGAATTGAGCGGCTTCGCTCAGCGCGCCGTAGATGATCGTGTCCTCGGCGCTGGTCTCCGGCTTCAGCGGCAGCTCGCCCCAGCCGCCGCTTTCCGGCTGCAGCGGATGAAAGGTGGAGCTGGCCGGCGAGGTTGTCTCCGGCTGGGGAAACATCCAGTCAACCAGGGTCAAATTGGAGTCCCAGGTGGTCGCGCCGTGTAGATTGTGATGTGGGTACATTGTTGGGTAATTTTGTGGGAGGAAGATTTTTGAGAGATGGAAGGGGAGAGCTGTTGAAAGGTGAAATGCAGAGTTCTTGGGGTTCATATATATATTTGCAGGTGATTGCTCTCTCTGTGTGTATCCTGGGAACTGGGAAGCTTCTGGTTTTTCCACACATGTTATGCATTTTTTCTTGCAGGAGGTGGTGTGTTTATGTTATAATATTGTGGAGGTGACAATGGATTAAAGTAATCGATTCGAGCTCAATGATGGGGAAGGAAAGAAGGAAGGAACAATTATCTGAAAATGGCAAAGGAAGGAAGGAAGGTTCCAAATTGGAATAGTGTAAAGTCAGTGTTGGTAGTGGGCAAGGTTGTCAAATTCATTGGGGGTGGGTGAAGGGTTAATGGTTCGATCATTTTAACTCGGTTTGACTTGAATATACACTAGAAAAAAAAAGTCATTGGGTTGTTCATACGTATATAAATTACATTCAACTCTGAAATCTCATTGAACATATGAGTGATAACATATAACGTTTACGTTCAAAATAATAGTTTGTACATGTACCCGTGGAACAACTTGTGAAAATCAAGCAAATTGGTATGATGGAATGAAAGTTCATTGATCGTTTTTTGTCGAGTTCGATTGATTTTGACCTGCTGAACCAGGTTCAACGAATTAGAGAGAAATCTAAAACGAACGCGTGCGGCGCGCCCATTCCCCCCCCCCCCCCCCACCGAATTCGGATCAAACCCATGGGTCGACCGTGGTTAACAACCTTGGTAATGAGTGAGAGATAGGGCTGCAAATGAGCCGAGCTGCTCGCGAGCGGCTCGACGTTCGACTCGAGAAAAGCTCGTTCGAAACACGGCTCGTTAATAAACGAGCCGAACACGAGCTCACCTTTGTTAAGCTCGTGAAGCTCGCAAGCTAGCTCGACTCGGTGGCTTGTTGATCTAAACTCTTGAGCTGGCTCGTTTAGAGCTCATGACATGTCTTAACATGTGGCTAGAGAGTCAACTCGATTACCAACTTATGGACGAATCAATCTATATCTTATAATTTTAATTCATATGGTTGTTAATTTATATATCTCACCATATATACAGTTTTGCACGTTGAGTATGTGAGCAAATATATCTTATTTTCTACTTTAAAAAGAAATTATGCATCATAGATTTCTTCGATAGAATGAAATAACATGATTTGGAGTAGTTAAAATTTATTAACTAAACGATATATGATACCAACAAAGTATAAAGTATAAGATGAGATTAACTAACAAAATAAATCCTATGTATCATGATATACAAAATGAAGTACCAAATAAAAGTTACGATTTTAATAAACAAGCTAGCTTAAGCTCGACTCGACTCGTTAATAAACGAGCTGAGCTCGATTCGTTTATTAAGGAGCCAAGCTCAAATTGGGATAAAACTCGACTCGGCTCATTTGCCGCGCTAGTGGGAGATAATGGAGGATTGGGGGGATCTATAAGAGGATTTGGCGGAGGTTAATGATGCCAAGGTCTTGCGTCATCGCCGTTGTGAGACACGCCTTATATTTTAAACCCAAGGAGATTAGTCTAAGTTAACCTCCCAATTGGGTCCCTTTCTCTTTTGGTGTTATTATTAGTCATTACTATATTAGTCATGTGGCACAACATATGCTTAATCTTCTTTTTTCTTATAGTTATCTGCTATATTTTGTTCCTGTAATACCTTTTGGGGAGAATAATTGTTGTTTATTAATTGAATTGGAGTATGTACTTAGCGAGTGGTGTACATTTTTTATTCGTCAATTGATGTTTTATAAAAAAAGAGAAATAAAAGTATAAATTTGACATAATAAATCATGATAGTTGAAGTTTGGAATTTCTTAGAGAAATTGATATTATTACTAAGACTGTATTAAACGGCGCAGCATTAGTTAATGCTCATCGTTTTGCAATCGATTAAACTGCTCGATCTCTTTGGCAACGCGGAGTGTTGTCATGATATTCAAATCTCATCATTACTTGTTCGGTTCTTTATGAGAACCCGAATCCTCTAATAGTAACCGCAAGTTTCGTGAGTTAAAAAAAAAGGCTGCTATCAATTGACATAAATAGTAACTTATCTTCCATCGATGTTCATAAAGCTAAAAAAAAAAGTTGTGTTTCTAAATCGAAGTCTCTCTTCTTTTTTATTTAGTTATTTATTCAAAATAATTGAATTCGGACTGACATAAAAATAAGGATTTATTTGATTAGTTCAGCCCCGACAAATACGTTAAAAATCACGTGCCATGCCAATTAACCAAATACTTGGTTGTCATAATCTTGATCTACTTCCATAAGACCTACTTATCTAATAAGGCTTATATAAAAAAAAAAAAATGCCAACTTTCTTTTTCCAATGCTTAATACTTAAGGAAACATATATGGTATAAGTATATAACTTAACCATAATATTGCTTAAAGAAATGAAGGTAAACGTCCTTGTATTCATACGATTATGAATGTACAACATCATAATTCAAGAATTTACTCAATATTTGGGCTCACTAGATCCACACTCAAACGTCTTTTGTGCTGATAATTCAATTTAACTCAAAGTTAATTATTGGAAAATCACATTGTCAGGAATCATTCGAATAATTTCAGCAACTCCTGCTTCACAGTTAGTCAAAGTGGCACAATAACACTGCATCCAGCTCCAGCCAAGAGCCTTCCCAATGAACCATGTCAATCAAACGACGCCTTCATTATCGTTTCTCGATCAAGACCCCAGGAGGACCACCGCGACATAACTCGAACTCGAGTCTGCTTCTGAAGAAAACCACGTCGAATAGAATGCTTTGCTGCGAGGACTGTAGGTTGTGTTGCTCAACATCATACTCAGCAGTTTGAAGCTGAATGTCTAATGTTTCCCTTCGACTTGTCTGAGAAGGAAAACTGAAAACCCCAAGCTGATTGTATCTGGGGGTGCTTATGCTAACTTCACAGGCTGCAGCAAGCTCCTCGCTGCTGGAGGCTGTGGGATAGATGTGGCGGCAATTTCGTATTAAAATGTCACCAGATCCAACGACGACACATTCAACATCTGATCCGACGGTATCAACCTCGATAAACACGTGGTTGCAAATCCTGACCAAGTCGCCTATTCCCCTCTCCGGTTTACCGGAACTTAACTTTTTGGCCCATTTTTCTTCCTTCTGGGTAGAAACTACAGACCATTGGCCTTCGTACATCACCATATATAACATTAAAATGACTAGTTATCGACTACAGTCGAGAGTTTGTATCTCGACAAGTACACATGACAACTTACAAAAGGGACCGCGCTGTACAAGTTCGTCACTACATCCCAAATTAGGATCACTGGGAAGCCATCAAAACAGGTCCTGCTGATTCATCTTCCATTGTTGTTCCTGTTGCTTCATCGTCTGCTTCAACCTCCGCCGCAGATATTAATGAGGCTGATTGAATCTTTCCCGCATACTCCAGCCGCATCAAAATTACTCCCCTAGAAGAACAAACACACATAGTTTGATTGGACTCGACACACAAACCACTTGCAAGAATCTCACGACAATATTGCTGGGCAGAGATTAGTATTTGAACCGACGATGCTGTTGAGGCAGAAACAAGACACAATCCACATAAATTACCTTGCATAGCGCGACTGGATTGAAATGTCGCGAACTTTGATTCTATTCACGGTGCCACTTTGACTAACTAGAACTACTTCTTCAACACTTTCACCATCCTCTGTACACATAGAGTAGGGAAACAGAAGAGGCAAAGACTTTAGCACTCTGTTCAGATGGGAGACCATAGACATACAAAGGATAAGAGCATGCTGTCCCTGAGCATGGACCTCTGAATCAACTGCATACCTGCTAGTGAGAAACCAACCACAAACACTGCTGCCAAATGCCCCTCCTCCTCCGAAAACTGACAGTAAATCAGGGCATCATGAGTTGTGTTTTCAGAAGATAACATTTTCCAACGGATATTGCTCGATTAAATGACATATAACTAAAATGCAAAACGAAAAGAAAAAAAGAAAAGAAGAGACAGCAGGGACTACCTTAGAGCCAATCAAACCAACTCTGTTCAGAGGAAGTATGTTGAAACTGCTTAGAGGAACCCTCTTCCCATGACCACTATCAGAGATAAACAACAACCATGGACCATAGCCCTTGCTGCTGACAGAGAACAATTAGCAAACTACAATTAGAATAGAAGCAAAGTTTCACTCGGGATGCTACTGACTGTCTGTCTGTCTGAAAGCCACTCAGTCTTACGGTGGTACATACAACTCATACAAGCAGAGTCAAAATAACACGGTGAACTAAATTGCTAAATATATCCCCTCGTATTCGTAATTAACCATGGCATGTGAATGAAAACACAAAGGTTCTTTCTCCGGATAAGAGACATAATCAACTGGGAGGTGATCTTGTGGAGAAACAAGTCGCTAGTACCTAGCAGTGAGCCTGGAAAAAAAAAATTGACACATGGCACTAGATCCAGGAATTACTTGTTGGCAGGATCTTCCGACGCCCTTTCCAAGTCTTTCCTCATGGCAGCTGGTATGATGTCCACACTTGCCATCTTATCGCCTTCTTTTAGTCTCATGGCCACTCCCCCTCTAGTATTTCTGCTTAGTGCCCGGATCTGATTTGTTGAAATGGTGCATAACACAGGTTAGTGAATGCAGAGCAACAAAAGTACACTTAAAAGCATATTTACAAACAGGTGATCCACCATGCTTAACATAAACTCAGGCAAGAGATAACCCGACACCATCAGTACAGCAAAATGTCGGGCTTGGCCACGAAACAGATACACGTGTTATAATTTCTTTAATCAATTTGACCACAAAAAAGCTTAAAGATCATGTAAGGAGTTCAATGATCATGGAATAAGTAACAGAGAGAAACGGCCGCATACTTTGTCACAGGAACTTAGGATGACATATCCATTCTGTGAAGCCATAGCAACAAGATCATCATTTGTGCAACAGCGGACCCATCTCAGCTCATCACCAGGAACCTGACATGTTATCCGTTTTAGCTTGCGTAAATACTATGTGAATCAACTGCAGAGAAACGGAACAAGGAGCACACAAGATACAAACCAATTGAATGGCTATTATTCCAGTTGAGCGTATGGCTGAGAAGACATTCAGTGATACTTTCTTGATGTACCCGTTGACTGTGAGCATCAGTAGATACTGATCCTCAGTGAATTCACTCACAGGAATTATGGATGTTATTCTCTCACCGTCCGATAATGATAATATCTGTATCCATAGGATGAGACAAAAAGTAGGGTCAGTTGTCAGAAAATAATTAATAGTGAACAAAGCACAAGACTACTACATTACCTGTACCAGGGGAGTACCAGCAGCACTCCTGGTGCATTCGGGAATTTTGTAAGCGCGTGATGAGTAGACGATACCTTTGTCACTGCAGAAGTAAGGTTACATTTATGGCTCAATGAAATATCATGATCAAAATATCTAGACCAACCCGTTACCAAAAAGAAATGCCACGTCTACTAGCAACGATCAGTAATTCATCTGCCATTATTTAACAAAACGTTGACATAATACATATAAATCAATCAACTTATCAAATCGACAGTGTGCCACTAAATATGTGCTTAGGGATTGAACTGCTGTAAGAAGACAACAAACTAAGAACTAAGCACAAACAAACAATCTAAAAGTTAAGTCAATGAGTCATCTTAACTACTTCAGATTTACTGAGCGTGTGATGAGAATATCTAGTTGTTGAGTGCAGTAAATGGGTCGATAAAACACAACAAACAGAAAACCTATCCATACAAAGAATTGTGAATAATAAAGAATATACATTAGGCAGCAGAACTTATAAGAATCCCACCGTTTTCGCCAGACTAAAACTTGATGCAACAAGGAATATTTAACTATGTGTACCAAACATTCACATTAGCAAACTCAACTGAAGATATTCATATAAAGCATGACAAACAGTGCTGAGTGATTACCTAAAATAAAGAATGTGGTCATGTGATCGACAGACCACAAAATCTGACATTGCATCATTGACTCTCAATTTTCCGACAGATTTACCAATGGTTCCACGTTTCTGCAGATTGAAGGTGTTGGGCTTCATCCGCTTAACATAACCCTTTTCGCTGATAGCCTGAAAGTCACAAACAAGGATACTTAAGAATAAAAATCATTTCTGCTGGAACCCAATCAAAACAATAAACACACACATCATGTAGTATATATCTATGTGCAAGTTCTACTATAAAAAAAAGCACAAGTTCTATTTATTGATGTATTAAATGAGTTCATTCAAAAGAGCATAAGAAATCAAGAAAATGAAGGATTCATGATGTCACAAACCAATAGAATTTCTTCATTTGGAATAGAATCTATATCTTCAAGCTGGCCGTCATCCGAATATTCCAACATAGAGCGCCTTGGGTTTGAAAATTTGTGCTTGAGCTCAACAGCCTCTTGTTCTATCAGCTGGCGCATAGAACAACAGAGGGTTATAGGAGGTTCAATAATACTTATTTACCAGAGAAACTATTAATGAGGAATAAAAACTGGAAAAATTGGAGTATGTACATGTAGCATCTTCCCCTTGCTTGCTAGTAGTTCTTCTAATTTTGAGATTTGTTCTGTTAGAGATTTCTTTTCATCTACATATTTACTTCTCTGCACAAAAAGGTGTCAGTTGCCTTCAGATGATCACTGAAATATCTGCTTTTAAGACAAATATAACCATAAGAAACAAAGCATCATTTATCAACCTCCAGATGGGTAAGCCTTCGTAGACTTATATCTAATATAGCTTCTGCTTGCTTACTTGAGATATTAAATTCTGTAAGAGAAGAAAACAAATAAAGAAAAAGATCAATAACCCATAATTCTTGGTAAAGATTTAACAAGGTCAGGGGTACCGCATCAAAATGACATAAACTCATGAACAAACAGAAGAGATTTATGACAACATACAGTTTCATTCTGAGAACAACCTCATGCCGTCTGAAGTATACATATATCAACACCTTTAGTCATTCACAACATGCATATAAGCTACATGCTATACCGATATATCAGGTCAGTCCAGTCATGTACAGCTCTTCAACTTAACCAAGCTCTAGATGATATTCTACCGTCTAGGTAAAATAACTAGTCTTCACTGTAGCATGAAACCAAAGTTCACAAGTAATCAAAGAAAGGGTAAACTGAAAAGAAGATCCTGGAATAAAACTATGTGCAGAAACTTGGGACAGTCAAAGGCTCCAGAAAACATTCAGGACAGAACCATAATCCAGTTTAAATATTATGCTTAAACAGTTTCTCCTCCCCTTTACCCAATAAGGCCCCAACAGTAGAAAGAAAAAAGCTCCAAAGTCCTAACCGAGAAGAAGAGCAAACAATCATATGAGAACTGAATCAAAACTCACAGACAAGTTGTCATTTTTGTTTAAATGAAAACTTAACACATATGGAACTGCATATATAACGCACTAAAATTCAGAGACTCGATGACTGGAAGTTCAAGGCGGCAGTAGGAAATAAATGTCAAATAGGTTCGTAATCTTAAACCAAACCATAGCATACCATTCATTAGACTAGTAGATGCAGCTGAATTGCTGGAAGCCTCCTTAATGATTTGAATAATGTGATCCAAATTATCAAGGCCCACCACGATACCCTGAGAAGAAACGACACTATAAGTCCATCAACCCATAGAAGCGTTAAGTGAACCATGGGATAATGGAAGTGAATCAGTTTAATATCTTTCCTGAAAATCACTCTTCCATATGAAGAAACTAGATCAAACACAAGCACATGACAAGGTAGACATCTCGGGTTGGCTAATAAAGAAGCAGTTAGTAGTATATTCCATGACAATACCATGGTTTAACTAACAAGGCAATCAACTAGCATACCTCAACAATGTGTCTCTTCTCCTGAGCCTGTGAAAGTTTGAACCGCGCACGTCGCTCAACAACAGAACATCTAAAGTCTAAAAATGCCTGGCAAGGGCAAAACAAGAGTAGGTTTACACCCACAATATTTTCTGAAACAGGTAATGCATAAAACGTGTGTGAGAAGAACATTGACTTCTCCAATGAAACCATGCGTGAGAAATAATCACCTGAAGCAATTCTTTTAGCCCCATCAGTTTAGGTTGTCCATCCAGAATACTGTGCCAGACCACCAATCATAAGTATATTAAGCAAATTG